ACGATCATATAAAGTGTGTAGTTGATTCTCTCTACCAATACATTACCATTAGATATGTAGGAAATGCACAAGTCATGATGATTTGTGCATTGATGTAAAAATCGTATATAATGATTTGAATGATAATTATTACAAACTCTCCTCTTCAATCCCATACCAACTCTAAATGACTGCAAAATTTACTTTTGATTATCTCATATTAAAATCAATATAATAAGTTCTCAGTAGATTTGAAAGATCTAACTTCTATCCACTTGTAAGATAATCAGTAGCTATCTTTGATTGATAATCATCGTAAAGGATTTAAGAGTCATACACTTCAAGCAGTTTCTTTTTTTCTAAATATTTTTTCACATAGTAAATTTTAGCAAAATTATTTAAATAACTGTGATGATTCTAATATTTTAATTGCAATTAAATTTTGATGAAACAATAATTTTTTCATAATCATGTATGATTGACATCTTTTTACGAATGTATTACTATTTTTTTGAATGCATGACTTGAGAAATGTCTTTTTTGAAAATTCAATCAAAATCTTCTTATACTACTCCATCGGCAAAGTCTCCACTATCTCTTCATTGCAATGTGTATGTGAGACTAAAACACAAACGTACTTGTCTTCGAATAATGTATCCCAAACTCTAACTAGGATAAGAGTAATTAGAGGTTAACAAGATGCGGTTTAACCTTACAACCAATCTCTTAACTCAAGTCTTGGAGTAGATTGTTTCTATGATACATATGTAGTTTCAGCAGAAAAATCTAAAAATTAAAAACAAAACATAGCTTTTTTCCTATGAATGAGGATAAATTAAGCCGTAGCAAACAACATATCAGAGAGAAATTACATATATAGAAACTATCATACAATTCAACTCAATGCTGCATTTTTTGCAAAGTTGCACAGTGTCTTGAAAACGTATTAGAAGAAATCACCTTGGTAAAGCCATCAGCTAGATTAAACTCTCCATCAATCTTGACGAGCTTAAGCGAGTTCTCAGACACAGCTTGCCTGATAAAGTGATATCTAATGAAAATGTACTTCATCCTATTAGCCATCATCTGATTCTCAACAAGATGAAGTGCACTCTGATTATCACCAGGATGTCAATACATCCTAGTGAGACAATATCATTTCAGTGATATTTTTGTTCAACCTGATTGCTTTCTTCGTTGTGTATGCTATTCGACTTCCATGGATGACAAGAAGATGCACCTTTAAAATGTAGATTTCCAACTAATGCACGCATCTATAAGATTGAAAACATACCCAGTTGTTGATTTTTTCTTGTTCAAGTCTCTCCCACGATCAGCATCCACATATCCCAAAAGTGACTTGACATTCATTGCTATGGCATCAGATAAAAAGACATGTCGTGCATAACCTTTAAGATATCTAGCTATACACTTCATTGCTTCTCAATGAACCTTGCGTAGATTTGACATACATTTGTTCATCTTAGCTACATCAAAAGCTATATCCATTTGTGTGCACATCTTCAAATATATAAGACTCTCCACTGCACTCTATTAGGGAATAGAAAACATTAAGTCTTTCTCAACTGCATCTGTAGGTTGTTGCGTTGCTTAAAGTAAAGAATGAGCAACCGCTGGAGTATTCACAGGTTTAGCTTCCGCCATGTTGAACTTTGCAAGCATCTTCTCTGCATACTTCAGACAAGCTCATACACACAATACTCTACAATAATCACATAAATATACGTGGTTCACCTCCACATGAGGCTACGTCCACAGCCGAGATAAAAAAACTTCACTAAAATAAAAATGTACATTAAGCCCCCATAGCCAAACTCTCCACTATCTTTCCACTACGATGTAAATGTGAGACTAAAACATAAAGATGATTGTACTCGAATTAAGTATCCCAAACTCTACCTAGAGGCCAAGGCTAACTAGGATTTGACTATTATCAGTACGCAGATTAACGTTACGAGAACCCACATCTTTAACTTCAATAATTTTTTTAATATCACATTTAACGCAAAAATTACATCTATCAACTTATTTATAATGTTATGCTCATTGATTTTTACTTGAATATTTGAAGCATGAACACATATATCCAAAACAATTTACAACATCAAAACTCATGATCTTGTCATATAACTTTATTTTTACATCTTTAATTTTTTGTTTTTATAAATATTAAATCTTCTCTCAACTCCTTTTGTATACTTGGATTCAATTAGTCAAATATTATATTGATGTTTTTATTTTCAACATACTTCATTAAATCCAAAACATCAACTTTTAATCTAGTCATATGAGCTTTAGTCTTGGATAACTTATTTTTTGCAAAGTTCAAAAACATTTGTATAAATTAAAAGAAATGAATCAACTTTGTACAAATTTTCTTGAAATTGAACTTTTAGACATTTGAAAAATATTTTAACCTTTGACAGTCATAATTTTTGCAATAAATAAGATGTGAACATGATATAAAACTTAAAAATGGTTTATGTTTTATTCTAAAATATATTACAAACTTATTAAATGAATGTGAAAAAATATTTTTGGATTTTCAAAATCATTTTACTTCCAAATACATGAAAAAATATTTTTTAAATGAATCAAATATTCAAAATAATGCCCAATGTTTTATATAAAATTATTGAATACAGAAATAATGTAATCTACTCAAACATGCTCTTTGTACTTTTGTTCTTTAATGTCAACTACAAAAATGAACTTATTGTTATTTTTTCTCAAACAAAAAACTCTAATTAAAATTTTTTTGTATTTGAATAGAGTTTCTTATAACAAAATAAAAATTGCAAACTTCAAGTTGACTCTAATTCTAGCTAATGTTAGAATTTTTTTTGATAATTTATTCTGATTATAGATGATTGAAATCCATATACATGACCGTGTTGAAACAACTTTCACACAACCTCCACTTACAATCCACATCAAATTTTTCATTGACACTTCATGATTAGTTGCAATTTCAAATCTTTCATCAATAATATAAGTCATCACACAAAGAACTCTCCAAGTTTGCTTGACATACTTCTCTACCTCTCTATTGATATTACTCGAGAAATTATCATGTAAACTCATGATAACAATTATTCAATTTACTTTCACTAAGGTAATATTTGAAGCTATAACTAATTTCCATGAAAAGTAATACTATGACAACATTACATTGACATATCTAGATCTCAAGGAGCTTTTTTGTACCTAAATTGGGATGGCGACATGCCATGATATACTTTTTAATTTTTAGAACCTGAAATTTTACTAGTATTTTTTTAGACTAAATTTAATCTATAACGATGATTTTATTTAAACTAATATGTACGCAAAATATCATTTCATTAATATCTAGATATTGATATGACACAAAATAGCAATGCTCATCAATAAATTTTAAAATTATATTTCTTAATTCTAATATTCTATAATTTTATTTGACTGCAAGTATAAAGTCAAAAGCTAAAATTAGTCATGCCTTTGCTAACTATGATTGATAATTTTAAATTAAAACATTATGCAAACATACAACAACAAAATCTACAATATTGAATATGATTTGAAAATGGTCATATTCACACAATGACAAGATACAAAAAAGTTTTGGTTGAAAAGATAGATTTGTATTTTAAAATAACCCTGGAATAAAATAGAAAATATGTTGAAAAAATGGCCATTTTCAACATATTCTTTTTTTAATCTTTTTAATTATTCTAAAAGATTTATATCATTGATTTTAGTCTTCACATGAAGACAAAAACCAATTTTACACTTCTAACCAATATGTAATTGAATAGATTGATTGGTTTGATTCTCATTGCTGAAAAGAATTATGTGCCTGATTTACATCATCTATTAATTCTACTTAGCGTTACGTAGGGATGATTGCAGCTTAAGTATGAAAGCATAGGGAGAAATATAAATATTTCCTTTTATATTCTCTAGAATAGAAACCAATTTTTCTTTGGATTAATCATATCATCTTAGAAACCCAGCACATCTTTGTTCTTCTTTTAAAAATTTTCTAATCAAGTTGGAATTTTCTTTTTCAATTTTGAGAACAATACACAGGTCACATCGAATTATAGATATGTTTTCAATCTCCTAAAATTAATCATGAGTTCAAGTAATCAAATAACTCTGAATAGTTTATAGAAACAAAGAAGTTATATTTTGTCAATGAGTAGAATATATAAATGCTTAAGTTATTTTCTCAAAATGTTGTCATAAATATTTTATTATGATCTTCAGTATAATTCAAGTATTTCAGATCAACACAGGGGAAATTCAACCCATATTTGTTAAATTTTACATCATATTCAAAACCTATTTGCAGTTAGTTTCATAATTTTTAACATCAATATGAATCATTGAACAAAATTTGACAATAGATAATATTTCATCATATAGGAAATAGAAAATTCTATACAACTTGAAAAATATATTGATATATTCTGATTTGACATACATCAGATTTCATGTTTTTATATTTTTAAATACTAGTTACTTCTGTGTTTAAGAATCATCCGACTATTTCCATTAAAAACATAAGACTTTAGTCTATAATTCTTGAAGTGAGATGTTTTAAAATGGAAATATATTGATGTAAACTGGGATTTTTCATGTCTATCAAAAGAGAATATCAATTCCATAATTATATAGATATCTCTAACTACTATTCTATCAAAAGATTCTTAGAGAATCAGATCTATTATTTCAGGTTGAGACTTTGCAACCTTTTGAGAGAGATATATATATATATATATATTTAGGATGCTAAACGGTTCTAATATTCAAGTTTATGTTCACTTTCGACCTTATAGATTTGTACATTGTTACCGAGTATCACTTAATATTGAAAATCACATTAGAATCACCCATCACTTGAAAATGTCTAACATGATGGTGCTACTACATGATAATCATTGAGCTCTACTTTTAGACAATGTTATGCAACATGCGAATGAGATCATAATAAGTGAACCAAACATTGGGCTCACTCGAGTAAAATAGAAAGTAATCTGTCGTCTTTCCTTTCACACGCCTATCAACTCTCGATTTTGCTCATTTACTGTAAGCTGTCTCATTTGATTGAATGCACTAATTTATATGACGTGTGAGCTTTAGTTCAAGCCAGCATTACATTGCCCAACAATTTTTCTGGCCCAAGTATCAGCTCTCAAGCGAACATACTTTTCAACTATTGATCTCTCTCTGAAACTCTTACAACTCTCAATATCAGATGTACGTCCTGGTAAGCTTAATGTACCGATCAAGACTACTGACTGACGTGAAGGAAAACACGGCTATATGTGCTTTGTCCCGAATGCGCATCGGACGTTTGCACGACACACAAGCTAGTCCTAATGCCAATATCTATCGAACTAGGTAGATATGACAACGTCCAATACGATCTCCTAGTTGTCTTCTACAGCTTTGGAGCCCACGCGATCTTGAGGTGGGAGCTGCAAGATGCGTGAGCATAGGCTGGCTAGACACAAAAGTTCTGAGGAGCAAATGGCCGCATGAAGTTTGAGTTACTTACTGATCTTTCCTTAGCGGAAAGGTTCGATGGGGATCTCAGGCGATGAAGAAGCCCACACGAACATGGTGCTGGCGGTTGCTGTCCACGTTGCATCAACGAAAGTTGCCCCTTTTAAAACAATGACTGGAGAGTTCGCTGGATCTTCATCTCACCGATTGATGGACTGATTCATCGATCACGTAACGCTGATCACTTGGTACCGATGCAGCAGAGAGCTCTGTCATCTTCGTCTTCTTCGACCCGAGCTCTAAGAGCTAAGAGGTCCCCAATCTGTGCGAGCTCCAGCTACGAGTTAACGTGGCTGTCAGGAATGTCCACCCAGTGACACACTCTCAGCTGCCTCCAAAACCAGGATCCGTTCTGTCATTCTGCTCTACTTCGAATACAGTGACGCGGCTGGACTAAATTCGTTTCTTCTTGTCAAAGGTTTCTAAATCGAACAACAGTCGGATGTAGCAAAGACTAGCACAGTAATGTGGAGGAGCCTAATTCAAGTCCAGGAGGCCAAATTTGTCCTTGTCGGCCTCCAAGAAGCCTCTCGAGAGAGAAGAAAAGCTAGTTATCCCGAGGGCAAAATTAGTGACCGAGGGAAAGTTGAAAGTAGTGTCCAATAGGACAGGAAGGTTCCACTTTTATATAGTACGACGTGCAACGGGAACAGGGACAATTACTGCTGGAAATAGTGAGAATCAGGAGGCTGACAGTATGGTCGGATGGGAAATTAATGGACTGCTTTGTTATATCGGTCTATCTTCGAGAGCTCAGTTCTGAAGCGGAAACGTCGGGTGTTACTATATCGGAAGACTTGTGATTGTCCACTCCTTTGACTACAAAGTCCTTATCCAGCCATGGCATATCCAGCCACGCTGTCCATAACATCAGTTGTGGAGTAGAAGATGTGGTACTGAAGTGTTTTCTCAGGGGATCAGAACAGACAACACACACATTGTACTTGTCTGGTCTGGTGAAATCGGGATCTCAAGTCAAGCTGAGCAGTCAGGGTGAATCTGCAGCCCTCAGGGAACGGTGACCTGCATCAAATCCACCTCACCCAGCCTATACATGTACACCGATGAGACTGATGAGCTTGGTTCCAGACCACGAGCGATTGCCAAGTCACATGACAGTCCGTTCCCTGGGATAGAGGAGGAAACTCTGCACACGCATTCGTGACTCACCACAAACAGTAACAAGCATTGCGTGTAAACCCATTAGATTCCATGTTCATCTCCCGTTGTTTCCAATTGTGTGATCCCATGACCTGCCATGACTACTGTTCTGTATCTGGGTTCAAAAATTTCTTGCTGTACATCCTGAGAACTAAAGCCATAAACTTCCCAGACTTATGTGCAACAAGAAGGTTATATGAAACTTTCAATCGAGTGGGATATAGTCATTGGGGCTTGTTTCTAGCGCTCTTTCTAAACCATACATGCCAGAAAGTCGTGAATGCATCTTTCATTTCTGAATGAGAGACGAGTGTAACACATGCTGGTGAATCAGCTTCATTACTCAAGGTCAAAAAATGTTAAAAGACAGTCTTTTCTGAAGGTTTTATCCTCAAATTTAAACCACCCCACATTAAAATACGTCGTAAATTAGCAGTCACATATATTTCGATGACTAGCAACATGCACAATAAGCGTTGCTGCCCAACATAAATCTTTATCTTCTCCAGCACGAGATTCTAGATGCATGTATAGTTCTTGTTCCGATCATGGCCAGTTTTCATACATACGGAAGGTACGACGGTCATACGGTCACGCATTATCCAGTCAAATATTCACAGTTCATTTCCACACATACCGACATTGGCACTGTAAACATACAAACATTCCCCGCCCACAAAATTCCAGATCTGGAACGAGTACCATGTTCCTGATCCGCTGGGATACCATGGAAGCATTCACCGAGAAGGCAGGCCGGAAATATACCAGACTGATCTCAGCGCTTGTTTTGCTCTGAACTATTACAAGTGTTACCAGGTCATGGGCGTGAGCTATGGGAGGCCACAGTAACTGCAACGCCAGCTCCTGAGCGGCCGGCTAAAATATTTTCCTGTTCCACAGGTCTCCATGCTGGCCGGATGCCGACTACGCGCCTTTTAGGAAGAATACTGTATCGTTGCCACTGGAGGACTGACATATCCAGATGATTCTTTTCTCAGTAGACTATGGATCACGAAACATCGTGGGTTCAGATGCTTTGGGCTGCAGGCTATCACCCTATATATATTCTGGACTTCAAACCGTTTGGATATGTTTCATTCTGAACACTGACAGTCCACAAAGTCTCAGAACAGTCTAGACAGCAGATTTGAATTCCTGAGGAGACTGATACCTAATCCAATTCTCTTTCGCAGTAGACTGAGAGACAACTTTGACTTCTAGAGACATCTGCTTTTTGTTTATTTGTCAATACATTCAAGTGGAAGTTTACGTTTGATCGTTCAAAACAGCGAGCTTCGTAGTGCTTAGAAGCATTCACAGAGATTCGTTAGGGCAGGTACATCACAACTTGAAGATCTACTACTTACTTCATCATGGGTTCATTGATGGCTGGATGGCAAACAAACCGATGTGATGCTGAGGCAGGTACGTTCAAACTGCGGCGAGAGCATGCGGTTCATCGAGCATTCTTCCTTCTAGATTCCTTTGACAAGTCTCTTCGACTCTATTTTCGCTTGCATTGGTTCAGATCCGTACAATGAGCATCCGCTGGAAATGCTCTTTAGCGATATGCATTGACCTGACAAGGCCTACATGTGCAGCCTTGAAACGAACCACATCGTCAATGACGAAGGCGGAAGTTGAAAGATTTTGGAGATCAAAGCGCAACGCTATCAAGCGACATCTTCGTTTCATCGAAGCACAACAAGATGTACGATTTGAACCTGGTTGTTGGGACCTTGCAGAGTTATAAGAGGCCAGAGTGTGCTGCTTAATATGTAAAATTGAAATAGTTAAAATTTGGTTTTCAATAGATTTCTTCGAACTTAAAGTCAGAGACTATTTTCGCCCTTGAAGAATTGGAGCTATATGGTATACAGCAAAGTAATCACATAGTGTTTGAAACTGGAATTGAGACTGTTTTACGGATCTATCAAATCCAAGCATGGTACACAATGCACTCTGACGATGCAAATTACAGTTTTAGTATAGTAGCTGTTTGGATTCAAGGTTTTCTTGTCTAGTTAGAGTGGTGTAATACGAGTTCTACACTCATTTACTGTTATTTGCAGGACCGGTAGAACTGAGCAGAGAATTTATTCACAGACATGTGACTCATCACAAGACAGTCAGTGTATTTTTGTGCTCACAATCTATTTATGTTCTTAATATCATCAGGCTGAAGAGCTTGACCAAAGGAGCTCGAACAGCAGCGGGTCCTATACTGACAGCACAAGTACACCTTCAACGCCAACAGCAAGCAGTCTACCTAATGATCTTAGTTCGAACACTGGAAGACAAGCCTGGTAGTTATTTCTTGAAACAATTTTTCGTCCGTTGAGTTGAGTTTGATGAGCAGCTAGAAATCAACTTCAAAGCTGACATATACACTTGATAGATGGTCTTAGTCAGTGCATGATTTCAGCAACTGATCATTTCTCGTTTACAGGTGGACTAGGAGCAGCTGGGCTTTTTTGAATGAACCACCTGCACAGGAGAACAAGAAGAATCGGTACACTCCCCAGTTTGATGTGGTAGAAGAATGTGGAAATGCAAGACTAGTCCGGAGAAGGAACAGCATGAGTACAGTGCTGTAAAATTCTAACTTGATATCACCGAGATCATGGTTGTTGGAACCTCGAGGTGCTTTTAATGTTAAGTGAACAATCTCTGCGTTTGTTTTCAATAATATCTGTGAAAGTATATAATGTTAGCTCATGATTGTCCATAAAGATAGGTGAAGCAGCAAGGATATGATACGTTGTACAACAGACATTGGAAGGCGATCAGATGATCATACAAATGCACACAGATGATCCATCTGATCAGACTTAATTTCAGGACCAGTGATAATATTGAACTGTCTCTAGATACAAACCGCTGACTGGTGTGGAGGCTAGAAGCTTTAGAGTTGTAGACTGCAAAGTGATCATGATGATGCGATTGGGTACATGGTCACAAAGCAAAGTAGTCATGTTATTGGTAACATACATTTCTGCTCCATCATAGTTAGAATGGAAGTGGATTGTCAACATCTGATGCCAAGGCTTGTCCTAATATAGTGTCAACTCGGACTGAGCCAAACATATTTTTATCTCCGATGTAGTTTTCTTGTAAAGTGCTTAAATATATATCACCACTGGTGTTATCGAATCACGATCTTTATACAATCTCCAAGTCTTCTCGTACATGGACTTGTTTCAAGCCTTTAAGACACGAGTGTATATCTTGCTATGAATGCACGTGACCTTCAGAAAAATAAATAGCTGAATAATGGTATTGTTCTACCTTTCCATCGTCATTCTAGCCAGCGGGTAAATGTTCGAAATCTGGCTATTCGTGACGCTTCTACTGCACAAACACTCTTATATTGTGAAATCTACCTGGACACACGGCCTGATCAAGTATTCCAGAAAAGTCCTGTATTAAATCCAGGTGAATCATAAATCTCTTATGTCAGCATGGATGAACTATGAATAGAAGGACACCAAGTAGTGTAGCCAAAAGGACGGCAAAGCTTTATATCAAACCCTTATAGTACTTAACATGATTAATGTATTAGAACACTAGTTACTTCTTTCAGTGATACAATGTTGTCACATTGTTAAAAGAAAGCTTAATAATAAGTTAGAAAGATATAATTCTTTGCCAACTAGTAAAGGAAGACTATTGTGTAGTTTTTACAAAAAAATTGCATCTTCTATTGATAGAATCATATAACTTCATGTAGAGTAACAAAAAGTTGACTTGCATATACATGGACTAGAATAAGTTTGTTGCTACATAAATAAAATTTGGTAACCACCACGTCTATAACAGTTGCCTATAATTAATGAAAAGGTATTGATCCGACATAGATCTAGTACACCGCAACGCCATCTTACGTTCCATTCATGTTACATGTACCATCATGCACTACACTACATACGCAAGCACCACATTCACAATCTCTATGAAATCATTAGTGGGTTTACTATGCAAATTGAATGAGCACGAAGAACATCTGAATCCACTGCTCTCACACATGAACATGTGGCTGAACCAAACGAATGCGAAGTTTAGATTTAAGAAAGGGTAATTCCAAAGAACATGCACTTAAATAGATTTGTGTTCTTCGTATAACAATATCTGGCTCACAGCTATACATTTACATTCCTTTATCCAAAAATCACCTTTTATTAGCATACAGTGTAAGGTATATTGAACATCCTTGGTCTAAAATGCTCAGTATCCATCACTGGCAATACCAGATCTGCGCTGTATAAAACAAAAATCATGTAAAAGCTGCGGGCGTGATTCTCACTCAAAGTGGAAACAGGGTTGATGAAGATGACCACGTTCGTAACCATCGATATGGCTCGAGGAAGGAAAGTTTCTACTTCTACTCGCACTATCTCAGGACACAACTCCATGCACAAGCACGTCACAGCAATCTACCTGGTCTGCATCTGTGGGGAATCTTGAGTGAAGAAGAGAAGAATCCAGCAGGGAATATCCTACGTTAGATCTCATTGTTCAAGTCGTGTTCTGACCTCTCGCCTTAGTTCAAGGAATGGATGACGAAAAGTTCAGATGTAATAGTAGATGAGCATCATAAGATCTCTTCTCTCCAATATAAAAATCCCAGACTAATCCAGACATCGACCCTGATTCCACCTGTGCACTATGGCATTAAAGCGATTCGGATCTTCAAACTTCTGGATCCAATGAGAAAATTGTTCACATCCAAGCTGCCAGGTCATTTCCTGATATGTTCACCACTGAGGATAGTGCCTCTGCAGGTCACACAGATCAAGGGGCATCTATTGACACCTGTACGTGATATGAATCTTAACAATCTAGTCAAAAGAAACTCAAGAGGGAAATGAAAGCATTTACTCTAGACAACGAGACTTTTGCAAGAACTTGGAAACAAACGAAAGTCTGAGGTTTTCATATTGGCTAGAATAAGACATCCTATTGCAGCCATTCCTGATTCTGCCACATTAAGTATTTGCATCGGAGTGGATTTGGAGCTGGTTGTCAAAAATGTTTTCTCGGTTTTCGACATGATACTGTCTAGAAAGCTCCAAGAGAGTAAAAAATCCTCTCATCTCACGATGATCCATATGAGTTGACCTTTTCTTCATCTACAACTGATTTTTATCTCCACTTTCTCCATATTCGATACATTTCGACATGGATTTGATAAAGTTGGAAACTGGAATTGATAGATCGGGGACTGGAGGTGACGTAGTGAGGAGTCTCACGTCTCTAAATCTGGAGACACTCCAAATCTCTCCAGATTCAGAGACACTGGCCGATGAGGTTTATGGGGTGAACACTAACCATACCAGGACAATCTCCAGCCTCTAAAAGCTTGAATCTAGTCACGGGACCAAATCCTTTGAAAATGGTAATAGAGATAGAGAACCGGAACCGCCAAAAGTATTGTGTGATTTGTACATTCAAAGATGACACAGTCATTTGAGCAACTAGCCAAAAGGCAATATGAACCGTGTCCAACAGTACGAATCAACGAGCAGGGTAAACTGAAAAGAATGATGGAAAACATTCATTAAGCGAATGTTTCCTATGCACTTCGGATCGGTCTCCATCTTCGAAATGCGCAGATCTTAACTCCTCCATGGGTCAGCCCCACGGCATCACAACACGTAAATTGGACATGCAAGATCATGACGCTCTGTTTTTGATTACTTTGGGTGCCTATTGCTTTTATTGGCCTTATCATCCACGTCAAAACGACACTGTAGTATGTCTGTTCATTCCTACTAGTCCTATACAAAACATAAAATAAATGCGGTCCACTATTGTAGAATATCAAAAGAAAGACGCTAAACTTTGTGCGGTATATTCTGTCTGGAAGCGATACCTTTGATTCGTGTTCACCACATGAATAGGACTAAGATTGCGCAAGCGTCTAATGATCAGAAATGTAATAGGTGACAAACGGTGCATATCTTTGTACCCTGAATATGGATACAATCTGGAGTTGTTATGTAAACCAAAGAAATACATTTTGCTAGAATTCTGAGCGTTGTTAATATTTCCCATAGATTTATATCATTGATAATGTCTCGCCCTATATTGTTCCATACAACAAGTTTTTCTTGATTCAATGCAAATAGCTATTGGCGATCCAGAACACGTATCATAGTTCTCGGTCACAACTATAGAAGTTTTCACGAGGCATTGATCCATGTCAACTCCTCCTAGCAGTCTACAAGAGAGAATGAAACAATATTTTCTGTCTGTACTTACTTCAGGAGTATAATGTGAGATGATGTTCGGGAAAACGTACCTTTTCCACTCAATTTATAGCTCCTACATCTTCGCAGAAGGAGCGCACAAGAGTTGCACTTATAAAGACGGTGAAACAAGAGAGAGTCGACTGTATAGGATCCAGATACAGGAAGATGAAATTCTGCTGGCTTATATCATGTACTAAGAGTTCTGACCTTGAATAGAAGTTGAGTGAGCTAACTCGAGAGCATGAAGACCATGATTTCTGCCCAGTCTTTGTCTTATTCATGCGATCAATATGATTAAGATAATGTCTTCTGAACAGAATCTCTGCGCTTCTGGTTTGACCATATCTGCAGATTTGAGTAGCGGCCGACTGGCTGATACAACAAAGCAGTGTGGCTTCACAGTGGATCCTGTTTCTGACAAATAAAGTAGTCCACAACCAACGCTTGTGAGGCCAGCAGCTAGCGTCATGGCCGACAATTCGTCCTTGCTTCTGTTCACATTTCAGCAGCAGATGTCTTGCAGCGATTGGAGGGGAGTATAGCAACTGCATGAGAAGTCAAAACAGGACTCGAAAAGATTTCTGTTCACTTCTGCAGAAGATTCATTGGGAACACCCTGCACCACATCCATAAAACTTTCAAATCGGTCCAATGAGGTTTGCTTGTCGAGCCTAGAATTGTCGAGAAAATAGTTGCACAGATCTGCTCGTCACTCGGTGAGCATGGCGTTGCAAGAAAGAATACGGGATTAAGCACATTCTATCGATACAGTATTTATCGCCAAGCCCGGGAAGAAGATCGTGAAGCAGAAGAACTTTAATCACGTTGTTTAGAGCAAATCTTCTCACCAGCCACAATGTAGAGCTCCCTGGATCATGGTAAACACTAAATTATGCATGAGCAGGACGAGTGTTGAACTTTCACTGACGGCCGACAGATCATCTTTCAATAACATGACGCGAAAGCCTCATGTGACAGATAAGATCATGGTGGGTCCATCGCTAGCTGCTGGGAAGGCTCCTTACGATCTACATCTACAGCGCTCGTCCTCGAATGCTGGCTTCCTAGCAACGTGTTCCGGTAGAATGTGTTCTCTGTCCTCAGCCTCGCATTCTGGGGAATAATTTCTACAGTTCATGCACATTTGGCACTCGAAGTTGTTCACTCCTCTGCACCCAACGTGGAACTGGGATTTCCTGAGCTGGAAGTGGAACTAGGACTATAAAGACTCGGATCTACTCCATTCCTATCATCATTCACTTGACTAATTCAAAGCATACTAGAAGCTAAATTGTTTCATTCCGTTTCTATCAGTCTACATAAGACTTTTGAGATTACATCGTGACGCTACTGCAATCTTTAAGCTATCCGTTTCATTCAGATTCTTCGGATTTCGCAGCTGCAAACTGACGCTCCTCCAACTTCCATAAACCGTCTCATACCATGGGTTCATTGATGGCTGGATGGCAAACAAACCAATCGGACTCTCGGCAAAGTAAGTAACCAATCTGCTGTCTTGGATGGATTGATATTTCCTGTGTCTTCGAACTCTCTAGTTCGTACGGGGCGACAGGCCGTGTATTGTGATTACAACCAGCTCAACTCATGCTTTTTTCCTCGTTTTGCTTATTTGCTGGGTGTAGTTGTGAAGCGTTCCACTTCTTCGATGACAAACAGTGAAGTTCAGCGCTTCTGGAGATCGAAAGAGAGTTCCGTTAGGCGACATATTCGATATGTTGATAGCAGACAGGAAGTAAGTTGATGCTTTACATCATCATAACGATTAATGCATCTTGCTTAGTTGAAACTGTGGATCCAGAGATGATTGCTTAGTTGAAACTGTGGACCCAGAGATGATTGCTTGAAAATTACTTTGCGTACATTGATTCATAGGAACTGGATCGGATATGAGAGTGTTATTCCAGAAAATATAGTATGAACCAGATGCAAATCGCCATTTTAATCTGCTGGATGCTGCATGTTCATGCCATTTTGGATATTTATTATCGTCTGAAATGCACCAAAAGCAAGTGAACTGTGCCATAATTTCGTGTTTGCTAAACCTATAACTGCATCATACCAGACTGCAGATTTGGAGGCGACTGACAACAACAGGAGCGACTCCGAAAGCTCAAGTCCACCAACAACACCTTTATCAAGCAGTCTACCAGCTTCATACAATGGTGAAAAGACAGGCTGGTAAGACTATTTGATATTTGATAGATGGCACTGACTATGATTTACAAAACGGTTATCCTTTCTTCTGATTCTAACCAGGGGATCTGTTTGGATGAAACCCCTTTAGGTGGACAAGGAGCACCTCAGCCTTCTTAAACGAACCACCTCAAGTTGAAAATAAACACAGCAGATACAAACCCCAGTTTGATATTTTCGAAATTTGCGGCAGCGCGAGTCTGGTGAAGAGGAGGAACAGCTTGAGTGCTCTAGTGCTCCATTAGCTTCAGCCAGACAGGCACTTTTCAAGAACAAATGAGAGCACTTACGAGGATTCACTCTCAATTCGATGTCAAAGCTTTCTTCGGATCCACAGAGACAAGTGAGAAGGCAAATCTATCTCCGATCTACTATCTATATACGATCAGCATGTACAGACGTGACAATGTACATGACCTTCAACTTCAAAAATTTGGCGAACAAACGACAAGCATAGTTCCAAAAGCTAAATGAAAAGCGACGTGATCATGATGATGCGATTGGGTACATGATCACATCACAGACTTCTTATTGAACTACTCTAGCGCTTAGACAGATTGAAGTTTTGGTCTAGTGGTAGAGTTACTTTGTTTCTTCACGCGTAGAATTGGTGTCTTAGTTTGGGTTGTTAAACAGCCAGTCAGCCTCCTTCTGTCTGACATGTATCATACACTATCTAGTACTCATATATAAAGATTTTTGTGTCCATGATTATACATGAATCCTACTGATTTACCACTGTGAGCTTTCAGCTTTTAATTTGAAAGTGAGAATATTACTAAACTGCATCTTTAATTTCAGTCTTCAGTCATGATCATTCCATGTTGGAGGTGCAGCATTAACTACTGTATGCATTATTGAACAGTAATTCCTCTTAGTAAACTTCTATCCCTAGCAGCACTTCTTTGGCGGCCGAACTATGTTCAGGTTGAGAAATGAAGTCTAAATAAAAAGAGGTAAATACTAGTGCAGGATTTCCCTGTTTTGTAAGTCGTGACGTCTTCCATATTAAAACATAGAATCTGCAATTTAAAAAACAGGAAAAGTCAAACTGTAAACCTGATAACTACCCCTTGGAAAAATCTTTTCAATAAGCCTGAAGATTCGATCCCCTCATCGAGACCATGGAATTACATAATTCTCAAACTACATGTGATCGATGAATGTGCTAAAGCTTCACAAGACTTTCACAGTTATCGGGACTTTTTTTCTGGAGGTCAACGAAACTTTACAGATTTGACCTTTAATGCTGTAAGATCTAATCTCACCATCACCACCAGATCTACGAGTCCTCTCTGAAGCAGATAAGTGGTTTCTCATCAAAAGTTTGCGCCACCATGAATCACAAATCTTTGTTGTTTCGTTTTCCCTTAACTTTTCTGCTAGTTCTGTCGATTGTCATCAGTGCTTCAGGAAGGGGCTTGACCGACGTCTCAGGTGGGTCTGTAGATTCATTCTTTCAATATCTGTGGCCTAATTTTATCTCAGAGAAGACTCTTCAGTTTTGTAAGTACCACAATCGTAAAGCTTGTTGAACAAGCTTTACGATTGTTTCTGGTGTTCCATGCGTGATTTTCGAATCTTGTTCTTCATGTTTACCAGGAGCATCTACAGGAAGAACTTTGCCCCCACTAGCAGACACGCGCGACTGCCATGCTAAGTACCATGTATTGGAATGTGGGTGTACTAGCAACACACAATGTTGTGACGGCTTTAAGCCTTGCTTTACACCGCTTGGCTGTAAACCAGGAGATTGTGCGTGATTTTTGAATCTTGTTCTTCATGTTTACCAGGAGCATCTACAGGAAGAACTTTGCCTCCACCAGCAGACACGCGCGACTGCCATGCTAAGTACCATGTATTGGAATGTGGGTGTACTAACAACACACAATGTTGTAACAGCGCAAAGCCTTGCTTTACACCGCTTGGCTGTAAACCAGGAGATTGTGTAGCCAAAGCTTCTCCTTCGGAAATTGGTCTGAAGTTCTTTCTTCAAATCATTTCTAGCAATAAGATATCTTAGCATGTTTCTCATCCCTTTTGTGAAACTGATTCAGGCAGCGGCAGAGCATGAAGTAAATCATTTGGTACTAATAATTCCTGCTCAATAAAACTGCCAAAATCTGAAATAAAATCAGAACGTGCATACATACCGATCTGTCTTTCAGTTAAAGGTAGACAGATGTAATGGAACTCGGAATCGTCTGGAAAATCTGTTGAAATTCGGAGAAGCTGATTCTGTTTGCAGTTGTCTAGGACTACTGTCAGGATAGTTTCTGTGTCTTTTCCTGTTTTTCACAACAAAAGAAACATTTCTGGATTTGTCAAGAATTGGGAGCAGTTAGCAGCCGAAGACAGTTTTTCAACATTCAACGAACGAGTTTTAGATTCATATTGCAAGTTTGAGATTCATTTTGCAAGGGCTATCTGAAGTGAATTTGGAACCTGAATCACATTCCATCTCCAAATATTTCCGAATGCCGAAGCAATAAGTTTGAGTAAGACCAATGTAATGTCTGTAAACTTGGGACAAACTTCTCATCCTCCACAAACTTTAGGAAGGAAACGTTCTGTCTTCTATCCTACCTGGAAGATTCTACCCAGCTGGAAATCGGTTCTCGCCGAATACCATGATTCTGAATGAGCACTATTTGGTAGCATGTATCTCACCTGCTTCACTGCAGCAGTGTTTTCCATATCTTGTCCTCGTGAAACACGTTTGACTGTACCACGTTGTTTGCCAGGATTCCGAATAATGAACTAAGAATGTTTTTCATACTCAGCCCAATTACTTAATTCTGATTGATGAGTAAGCGCTGAAAGGACCTAATCTGTTTGGGGGGGGGGGGGGGGGGGGGGGGGGGGGGGGCGTTGGACAAACAACATGCAACCTCGCAGCTTTGCCCGTTCTAAACCTCTCTTTGTAGAAGAAAGAGTGTCCATCCTGTTTGACGAATTCTGTTCTTCCATTTCACGGAATGGAATCCTGTACCGCAGGCACCGCCGCTTCATTAGCAGTCATGGCCACGGTGTTCCACTGAGATGAATGTGGAATATCTCCAAGCCTCGCAGTCTGATGTGTTCGTCAATGAAATCCGAAACGAAGAGTGCGGAGTTCATCAGAAAGGCAGTACTTTTGCTGAAGCTCTCGCCTGCTTAAAACCTTAACGCGTCTTCCGTAGAGTCTAAAGTGAAAATTTGCAAGCATATGGAAATCAGCCATCTTTTCATCTGTGAGCTTTAGGGAGTCCGGCCATCGAGTCAAAATGAAGCGCATCTCGTCATCTTTCTGTATCCTATTCTCGGTGGTTCTGGTGCTCGCTTTGTCAGTATCCATATGCAAGCCGATCGATGCATTCAGTACCAGTGGGCTCCCACAATACGCAGGTGAGTGGAACATTCGAGCCTGATCATTCGATCTATAAGCAAGAGAATAAAGCCAAAAAACGCAGTGCATTGAATTCCATAGTCTTCTGAGTTGCATAACCAGGATTTACCATCCTTCCTTGATGTCAAAAATAGGACGGAAGAAATCTAGGAAAGGCTATAACCTCGCGTTTATACTGATTGATACTGAAGAATGGGAAGGCAGCAAAACACTGTTTTGAGAATATTTCGATGCTTGTCGAACTGTGATGGGTCAAGTCATAAGATGCTAGATCGGATACTTGTTCTATGACAATGATTCTAGATAGATGTGGTGAGTTCGAGAGCCACGAGGAAACTCAACAAGTTTTTCGGGTCTGCTGGATGACCTTGTTTAGGTGCTATGAGTGGAAGTTTGATGGGCCAGGCCGCTGGAAGGGACGCTCTGCAAACTAATGCAGCCACTGAAGATTGCAAGAACAAGAACACAATCGAGGAGTGCCCGATATGCGACGCCGCTTGCTGCGCTAGAGCTCGACCTTGCTCCGTTCCTGTGGGTTGCAAACCAGGGGACTGCTCAGCTGCTTTCAGATAGCACAAGATTTATTGCCATCAAACGGATGTGCTCTCCAAGAATCGAAATAAGATTTAGGATGTGCTGGCACGGGTAGAGAAAGCTCATTCTGCTCGAGGTCCATGTGGAGCTTCATCTAGCAGCGGATCGGTCCACCTCCAAATTGTGCTTGAGCGTGCTCGATTCAACGAGAGAATAAAACATGAAGTCGACTGACAGGTACGAAAGGCTCAAGGACCAGAGCAGTGGTCACAAGAAACCGTTAGTAGCTCATGGTACCATTCATGTGCACACGGTAGTTCGTAAAATCCAGCGGATCTTGTTGGCTTGAAGAGTTGTTCTGGTCCTCCCGGTGTGAGCCTTGGAACTGCGTCCAGTTCACATTTCCGGGCTCTTCTTCCTTTGGTAAGTGCACTCTGCCACGTGGCTCCCTGCCACTGGTGCTCAGGTTAAAGACTCATGGCTGATCAGTGATCAGCCATGAGTCTGTGATCAGTGATCACAGACCCTAATCTGTGATCAGTGATCACAGATTAGGGTTTGTCTGACCAATAATGAGCTTACAGCGCCACACATCTCGAAAGTTCCTTTATATTTATTTTGCTCTTACATCCGTTCACAACGCTGAGGTTTCAGCAAGAATTGGGTGGGAATGTAACTGCTAATTGCAGTGGTAATTATGTGATCATAGAGTGTAATCATATTGGGATCTCAATATTGCTGACGTTAATTTCCATCTACAAGCAGTTGCAGATGGGAATAATATACTAGCGTATAGTATATTATGTTCTTTGCATCTGGATTTGTTTCGGCCTTTATTGAGCATACTCTAATTTTGCTCAAAAAAGCAATTTCAGCATAAACACTTGTTATGTTTTCCGCATTTATTGGGGATGCTTTTATTGAGAGTTCTACATGTCATTTGTGACAAACTTTTCGACCTGTCATGTCAAAGTATGGGGGCAATTAACATCTTGAACAATGTTCGATCCAATAACCAGTCCTACATGAAATAGATATATGGGAAAGTCGAATTTTAGGTCAAAAATTCCTCGTTAGGTTTCTACAGTGTTTCTATACTTAGAAAATCTGTATTCATAAATTGCATGAATATCTCTTGGGGATGAAAATATTTTAAATTTTTTCAAAATTAGTCTGATATGGAACACTCATTATATATTATACTGGGTGGTTTGTAAAAGTAAGCTTTCTGGAGGGTGATAAACCAGCCATAAATACGCTAGAATGTTAAATGATTTACTTTGAAGAATTCCTTTCAGATGAGCGGGGTGAATTTCCAAGTTTCTATGTTTTCATCATTGAATAAGACACATGTATAATCTAACCACAGATTTACGCTAATTGATAGTATACACTAATTATCAAATAATCCAAGTTTAAAAATAATTTCTGAACGTGAAATAGTCATATTGTTTGACAAGAAAAATGAAGAGCAAAGGTTAAATTAACTCTAGCGTATCATACGAGTATTATCTTGGTATTACAGAAACATGAGTTTGTCTGTAAAAGACGAACGCCTGAAACCCATACTCTGACAACAAATTTAGGAATTATCACAATGATAAAATGTCCATACAAGTACATTTTACACATATCCTGTGAAACAAACACCTACAATATATTCGTGCGAAAAAATTCATATTCAACTTCTCAGTAATACAGATCCTCGAAACCGAGGTAAACTCCGATCTATTTTTCTCCCAAAGAATCTGAGGTCTTAATTTGAAGAGACGTATCACAGATCTTTTCTGATTTTTTAGCACGAGCGCAGAAGCGGATTTCCTGCCACACTGAGAATACGAAGAAAACAAGTGAAATCAATAACTTGGATATGGAAAAAAGTCAAATTCAAGATACAATTTGTGATAAGGCAACGTCTACTCTATACGCTCTCTTGTTTATGTGATGAATACGAACTTGGAATATCATTAACCATCAAACATAGTTATAAGCGTCATGCTGATGTCCGTATCAGCAGTTACGTACTTTACATAAACTCCCTTCCGGAACTTCGGTGCGATTCCTGTCAAATTGTTGTTAGATAAATCTCTGCAAGAAGAACAGCAAGTAGAGCAGGATCATAGCCAAAGTCAGTTAACCTTCTGCTTGAATCAGTCAGTCTATCTCTAGTACATGTTTGTCCTGCCAGATCAGACTGCTGACAGCATAAGATTAATTTACACACGGAAAGATTTCGAAGTGACCACACCGCAAGAATAGTGAGATTTACTACGTTTCAAAGAGTCAGGTTTGAAATTGTAGCTTACATAGAACGTAAATGCGGAAGTTTCGACAGGGAATGAGGAATTCCTCCTGTCAGCCAGTTATTTGATAGATTCACATGCTGAAGCCGTGTTGCCATTCCGAGAGCCCACGGAATTTCTTCAGTGATAGAATTATCTTGCATTTCCCTGAAGCCTCGCCATTAAGTTATACCAGTTACAATCTAAGAACAGAGAGGCCAGTATGGTCCACAGCCTTACGTTCCTATTGTTGTGTTGTAAACGCAACAGTAGACAATAATTTGGAATGTATAGAAATTTCGACTCGTAGGTGCTGCGAAACTTGTTCTAGACACTCGTGGAAAAGAAACTATTGTTACTCTGTTCTTCAGGTTTCCCCACAACAACACGTTCCAAATTCCATTGATAAATGAAGCCTGGACAGAAGAGCACTTACAATCTTTGAAGACTCCGAAGTCTCCCAAGGTCACACGCAAGGCTACCAGACAGTTGGCGACCTCCCAAAGTTCTGACGAAAAGCACATCAGTCCTCTCATGGCAGCGGTAACTCTGCAAAATGTGTAACCTCTGCAAGCAAGGATATCTACCTACATTATAGTATCGGCAGTGAAATTCGGGAAGGAAGACTCACATGTTCGTGACACTGCCATTGGAGCAACCAATGTGAAACCACTGGCATGCTGACAGACCGGCAGCGGTGGTCCAGCTAATCAGATTTCCGAAATAGTCATTCAGTTTCTCCTTCTGATTCAGCAAAGCTTGTTCTGCACCAACCATTGGATTTGTCATGCCTGCCTATAGAAAACGTCCAAGATAAAATCATCTCTTCGAACTCAATTTTCCGGACTAGAGACCTATGCATTCACTTAGTGCGCAGTCTCACCTACCTCTCTTTCTTTCTCTTTTTCTCTGTCTCTCTCTGGGGAATAAGCATTGTCAGGCCTAGCTATATGGATGACGCTTGTAATTGAGTACTGAATTGAAATTCAGTGATTAGTTGCCTATCGAGTACAGTGCACCTTCACGGAGACTACATGTGAACATCGCAGGCGCAAGGTGACCTCTGAAAACATGACATCACGGGCCGCTTTGTGATTTGAGAGAACTCAGGTTCTGATATACATTAAATGAAGAAAAGGAAAAAGAGCCCTAACCTTCCTCGCCGACGGTCTGATTCTGAGTGGCGCTGCCAGTAAATGACCACATGAGCAGGAGCGCACATATCCAAGTTGCCTTCGCTTGATTCATTGTTCAGCTCAGAAGTAAGCACGAGCAGCCTGCAGTCACAACGTTGATCGAATTTACGTCACTGTCATTACTTTCTTGCATTCATCTTCAGACTAACTCGGACATGGAAATTTTTATACACAACGATACATGAGCTAGTTTTACATGCACGTGTTACGGGGATGTGATAAGATAAGTATTTCGCAATCAGACTACCAATCTCTGCAGATGCCACGGCCCACGAGCAATTCTTCAGAAGAAAGCACTAATAAACGATAGGAGTTTGGGAAATTTCTGTCACCTGATTCAGTCGTTGTATAGTGAAGATATAGCTTCTTCCTTTCCTACTCTCCCGCACGAATGTGAAAACTGCGTTCGTAGAAGCCGAAGACCTGCTGTCGCATAGAATGCGAGGGACTCACAGGAATTGCTTCTTGAAATTCCTGTCGACTTACGTCTCGATCACGATGTCCGCAATCGAGACGTACGAGCTCAGCTTTCTTGCGTGGGAAGTCGCCATCTGTTCACGATGGATCCTGCAAGTCCTCACGACTCCATACATTAAAAAGCGTTCCGAGTCGCGACGGCGGACAATCTACCACCCTTTTGTATGGTGTTCAAATTAAGCCCGGGCTTCCCGTGGCACTCTCATAATTAGCAAGCGCTCGGAGTCTGCACTACAGAGTAGTGGCATTAATGGCAGACTGCCGGAGAGTGAGAGACAGCAGCACGCCATGCTTGCAATTCAGAACTCCCTGTCTTTTCTTCTGCACTGCATGATGTTCTCCTTCGTTAAAACACCGGCCATTGCCGGTCGTCCCCGCGTCTTCCGGTCAAATCTAATCTAATCTCCAAACATAGCACAAACGAATGCACGACCCCGTCCCGTGAGAATGGGAAACATCCGAAGGTTCGAAGAAAACATGCCCTTGCTGCTGCTGCACAACATTCTGTCGTGGACAGTAAATCATTGAGCATCCGAAACACAGGCGAAAACTGGAAACTGCCCTCCTATTCACTCATTTCTAACCTGCAGTTGTGTTGTTTTCATCGGCATAGACTATAACTCTCACAGTCCAAGCAGAAGCCTGTATCGAGTTACGATCCGGATGGAGAGAATTTACTCAAGAGGTGGAGATGTTACAGAGCACTGTCCGGGCTCGACCTTGCGATTAGAGCACGTGGCACAAAGGAAGTCCCAGGAGACTTGGGGGAGTGTGGTGCCTAATGTCAGTATCACTTTTGATTTTATGTCATTAAAGATTTCAGATGATTGCAGGATGCAATCAGGATCATGGGTTCCTGCATTGACACATGCTGCCGTGCTTCTTCCCAGTGATTGTGCTTGCTGGATATACCGGCCGAATTTGAGCAGCCGGGATTGCAACGCCTTATGTAAGTCGGAAGGTTATGAGAAAGTACACCTGGGGGCACTCTACGCAACGATCAGCTCCACAAGTATCACGAGGGTTCTATCATGAAATGAAGTGAGCAGTGAAACTGTAAAGAGAATATTCTCTGTTCAGTGTCAAAATTTTCATCTCTTTGGCTGCATGCTTCAGTGTCTCTCGTAGCTGTAAACAATGGTCGATAATACACATTGGAAGATTGAGAGCAGTTAGAAAGGTAGCAAGATAATTAGCAGCGAGACAAAGACATCAACAAAGACTGAGATTTGATCATCATCTCCAGGTGGATATGTGACGGCGTCGAGTCCTTGACATTCCCTCGATGCCGAACCAGAACTACGTCAGCTGATTTCTAATCATATGCTTGCAGTCAATTATAGCAGAAGTGCGAGCAAGTAAACGATTTATTTGCAAATCTCCAGATAGGAGAGGATCGAAGGCTGCAATATCCATGTCCTGGATAAAGAGATTATTACTCCAGTCCGCAACGCTCCATCAGATCTAAAGATGGGGATTGGAAGTTCTGAGCCAAAACACAGTGTAGACATAGAGAGCTGAAGATAAGTTCAAAACTTTGTAATAATCATCGCATCTGAGGAGATACCAACCTTATCAACCTCAAAGCTCAAAGTGAAATCGTTTCTGAACAAATCTGAAACGATCGCAAATCTCAGAACGATGAACTGTGACAGAGATTGTCGAGTACGACACTCTCACATACTTTGAAAAGTCGCGTTACTGGTTCACATCGAGAGTGAGATATAAATTGAAGGATCGTCTGATTCCTCTTCTGAATATCAATTCAATGATAATGATATAGTTCCTTCCTTCTCTCTGAACACATTCAAAACTTGTGGACTAATATCTGACAAGTAGCAAGATTTGGATTCTTTGTTCCTTCGTTATCGTGAAGCTGATGATGTTTTTACGATAGGAAAATCACATCTTTCGCCCTAACAGACTTTTGGCAAGCATTTAAAAATCCGATGCGTTGAATATGTTGATCGCGTAGTCAGTGTGGACAGTACTGATTCAGAGGTGCAGTCAGAGGATGGCAAATGTCTTGAAAGCAGCGCCGGATACAAACTTTCGGATAGATATTCTTTGTCAAAGACTTCGTGGCGACGAGAGCTGCGAGCAAGGGGTTTATCAGGTGAGAGGTGTGCGAGTTTGTGCCTGCACGAATCTCGAGAACATGGTAGTCACGATTCATTAAATAGCCAAGATTCCTACTTATCCTTCAATCTCACAAATGCTACGAGATAATCATTATAAAATCTTCACGCTCACATATAAGCAGATTCCACATTCATGGACATTTATTTCAATCACTGGCTGGTAAGATGTCAGAATAATTGGAAACGATCTTAAGGTGGATTTGTCAATACATCAGAGAAACGAGCAGTAGATAAGACATGAAGAATTCATACTACAACGATTAGCCTAGTTTGTGATTTGTACATGCCTAAAGGACATAGTTTCAGTTATAGAATTATATTCGTATTATCACAAGTGATTGGACATGCCGGAAGGCGAAGACCTGTCAAGCGTGTCCCAGATAACCCTTGCAAGTCATATACACTCTAACTCTGCTAAGTGTTGCCTGGGTTATAGCTTCCACTACCATATGGATTAATTCTACCGGGCCAAACATATCAAGACTATTACTCTTCCAATCAAGCAAACCTCCAGCCCTAGAACCCATGCAAGCGATCATCCCACTATTTCACATACCATCAGTAAGTTGAAGTCCCCTTATTCAGCTTCCCAGCCCGAGTTTCAATTACATTTTAATGTGACTGAGAAAACTTCTCCCTCCAGTATTTGGAATGTTGCGCCTGGCACATGGGCACCTGTCAACCATCCAAAATATTTATCAATGGCAAGATCAGGAGCTCGTCACCAGGTCAGAAACCCAAGGAAGACTTCCAGACCCTTCGTCCCTCCTATACCGTCTGTCTTGTTCCCGTAAATCTGGCTTTCTGTCTTCGTGAGGGCGATGAAGAGTGCTGAAAAGAGAAGGAGTCCGGGGGAATCCGAGCAGTCTCAGGACTCCGTTGCAACCTGAACAGCCCTCCCCTCCTCTGATAGATTTTCTGATGGATTGTGTATATTCCGAATGGGTCTTATGTGGGTGTCGCTTCTTACTGACTCTCGGTGAACTCATCCAAACATTGTCTCGTGCCAGAAGCTCTTACTTTGAGTTCGTATTCTTCTAGCTCGATGTGTAGCAAGATGCTGCTCAAGTTGGAGGGTGACACTGAATGAGATCTTCGTCCGTAGCCTAATAAAGATCAGAATTCTTGTTGATAACAGGAAACTTTTTGTTGGCGGTACGTCCGGGACTATTTAGCTCACGCATTGCAGTTGAAAATAATGATGATCCGAAGAGCAGTCCTTCTATCTTCATACATCTTGATCTTTTCAATCCACGCAACAACACTTCAACTGGTTTATGCTTTGGATCATCGAAGGCCACATTCAGCTCTCAGAGTATAGTCTCGACTGTGATGCGAAGTTGTTGCAACTAGAAGCAAAATTCTGACATGTTACTTTAAAGCTTGGAGATGAAGAGGACTCAGGTTGGAGATTTCTCTGTGAGGATCCACATATAAAAACCAAGTCCACGTTTTAGACTGTACTTCACCATCAAGAGGGGTCCTTGACAACGATTTAACTTATAAGACTTCATTTGAAGATTAATAGAGCCAGACACTTTATAAATTTTTCCACGTTTCTGTGTTAAAGTGAATGATCTTTTCTGGATAATTACTATGTCTATGAAATTCTTCAATGAAACAGGAAGTAAAGAGTAGGCACTGCCATTTATGCAGGGCTGCTCTTCAGCTAATCCGCTATAAATTAATTATCTTTGACAATCTTCACATCTTTAAATCAAATATGGTATTTACAAACGTGTTAAGTAATGTTAATTTACCTCACCCTCTGAAGTGTATGCTTTTGAGGTATACATAGCAACATGATAAAGATTTTAAGCCTACGAAAGTAAACGAGTTCCAGTAAAACCTGATGCTTTTCATCATTTTCAATGGTTATAGCCGGAAATAGGAAATCCCTTGCACTATATTGAATCTATTAGATTAAAAGATTTTGCTTTGTTTTTTTAGACGTTTTCAGTGTCTTGAAAATGATGATCATGTAGAGAAACACTGAATATTTTGTTACATGAAAGGCGTTGAAGATGTCGTAGGTTCACTTCACTAGCTTTGATTCGTATTTTATTTCCGACAGATCATGTGAGACACCAAAAAATTCCAATAATTGTTTTTTTTGAAATTCAAATAAGTTGTTTTTCCAAATAGCACACAAATTTTTAGTTTTTTCTTAAGCGATATATATTTCACAATTTAAGTTTTTATACATCAACAGAGGTAGTGTATATACTACGTGCAGACCAAATGACTTTTTAAACATACCTACGAGATCAAATAGTTTTTGGAATTATCGAATTGTTGATTGAGTACATTTAGATTCTTAAGTTTGATGTAGTGAAAAATCCGAAATATCTTATTTCGTGCAGAAAATGAAAATTTGATGTTTCGGACGATCCACAAAGCTGTCACTTTTGCTAATTACTACTTATTACTTAGTTTACTGATTTCCATTGTGATGCATATACATTTAGCTGAATAAGAAATTCATATGATGATTATTGAAAATCACATTATTATTCACTAAATTTATCATAAATGATTGTTGAATTTGTACCGAATTGTTTCTTTCTGCTAAATATGTGTACATAAATGCAAGTCAAGTATATAAAGATTTTCATTTGGAACAACGGATTCAGACTGTGAGCCCTCCAGCCATCTTGCTAACTGGCCAGCGACGGTGACGAGCAAACTGGCAACAGGGAACTGCACAACATCCACGCCTCTACTGAGCGACAAGAAGAAACTGCCAGAACAGAATCAGAATCTGCTGCTGCTACAAGACGAGAATCGATTTTGGACGGCACGCCGCAACTTCCTTGTTCCAAAGTTGTTCCGAGTTCAGGGAAGGCTGTTGCGATGACCATACTTGGTCACTTTGTTGCTCAATTTCACGATACACCTGCGGAGACAGGGAGCTGAAATTTTGCGTCTGATCTTACCGAAGGTCCTAGGGGAGCGCACCAGTAGCAATGTTTCAAAGGCCATTAATGGCACCGAGAAAGCAGGATTCTCTGGATTCTTCGTTCGGTTCGAAAAGCCGGATGACGACTTCGAGTGAGAAAATAATCGGGAAATAATCGAACAGTGACGGATTCCCTCCGTTCGAAACGGCCACTGTTACAGACTGGACTTGACAGCAGGGAATGCCTTCGTTTACTCATCAGCTTTCGCAAATTGACGTCAGATGGAGGTCTGCAGAATGAGTTGGAATTTGCTTTCAGCTGGTATAAGGTGGGAGTTGCGGGCTTTGTGAGCATGAAAGCCATGCAGGAATGTTCCTTTTGTTTTGTAGCGCAAGCGGAATGTGAGCTCGTTGTCAAGGTATATGCTCCAGCGGCAGTGTAGGAGGACCTGCCTGCAAACTTGGCGAGTCTGATCCACGATTCGATGCTACAACCGTGATACAAGTGGTACCGGTGTACATCAATAGGCAAAATTGTATCATGCACTCTTCAAGCCAGTTAGCGACCTCTGCTGTCTCGTTCCAACTTCCAATGATTATTGAGAGAGTGAAGGTCCTGGAGACACAGTTTTTACTCGGTGTGGGGGTTACACAAAATGCTGCACCCAGATGCACCATGGAATGCCGTCACTGAAGGCGTTGCTCTTTATGCTTCAGCAGGTCTTTACTACTTCATCAACCCCACCAGTGGAGGTCTCACATTTTGACAACTCCGACAGATGACAGTTCGGATCAGTCCGTTCCTTCAGTCGAAGCAGATGTATAATTCAAAATAATTAAAATTAAGATGTCTCGCTCCAGGGCAGTCGGTATGTGACGACGAAAACCAGTGACTAACACCGATTTTGACGCGACAGCTGTCAAGGAATACATATCATCGAATATGGTCAGGTGTACAGAGTCCGCTAAGTCTCTGTCTCATTCGTTACAGTTTTAGCAGCTCCCCTTCCGGCATCACTTAAGTGTGCAGAGTACTAGATTGAAGATCCAGGAAATTGTCATGCACTTGAAACAGATCTTTCACAAAGCTCAAATTTGCCAGGCTCTGACCAGATGGAGGAGCTAAGGCCGACAAGCCTAAACATCTCCATTCCTGTACTCCGACAGTATCTGCGCAGTTGATACGGAAGTGGGCACAATTACACGTTTTGCCCCCGAATTTTCGTCCAAATCACGACTAAGAAAGTGAAGACGTGTTTGAATGGAAACATCACAATGGTGGATTATTTCAACTCTTTGCAAGGGCTCTGCTTAACCGTGGGTGGTCTCTGATTTTGAATTCAGCACGTTTTATACAAGTCAACAGGTTTACAAGCAGATCAATGGGCATTGTAGGCTCAGCATCCAATCTTCGCACATCAACACGAATCCCAAAGCATTACAAGATCTGGCCATCCCATGTACGCAGCAGGACAATCGCTGGCGTAAACATGACTTATGCATGCAGAAGAAAACCAGAAGTGCCTAAAGAGCTACTTTGACAAATGGGGAACAAATGGACGATCTGAATCTCTATAGTGCAAAATACCTGAGTCTGATTATTGTTTCCGAAACCAGCTATCAAAAACTGAACAATGAACTTCAGGACAAAACGCAAAAAGTGCATCCGACATGCAGTACTAGGGCCAGGGCAGCCATCTTTTCATGTGTTCCATGATGAATGCGCACGTGTGCAAACTATCGTCTGCTCGAGAGACACTAGCACTCTTCGCCGATTGTGACATGAAAGAAGCGCACGTGAACTTTGCTTGATTTTGGTTTGATTTGATATGATAAAAAAATATATGTTGAGGCGATACTTCTCTGTTCTGAGGAGCAGAAGAGGGAAAGTAACATTAAAAAATGGCCCCACGTAGGTAGTGCGAGCCACATATACGAGCTTACTGGTGCACGAGCAGGTCATCGGCCCTCGTACTCCGACCGTGGGTGCACTTCCCGATGATCATTCTTGAAGACTGTTCAGATGAATGGCGTCACTCTTTCCCGATACCTGCATAAAAGCTTCAGGACTGCATAAAGATACTCGTAACACGAAAGCCAATGGTCGCCAAAACACTGATCAGATGAACTGGATCCCTTAATGCCTGGAGATTTGATAAGAGAATTTGTGACGTCCAGCAAATGACTCGATTGTGTCTGTGACGCCTCACTTACCACGTCTAAGCTCCGAGATGATGAGTTCAGTGAGGTTCGATGTAATACAAGATGAGAAATATGATTTCCTGGTTTCATAAGGTACATTTCATGAAGATGCCTCAGCTCTTCAACAAAAGAGAAGCGTATAGGAGACAGGTGTAAAATACGGTGAACGTAACCATGCCTGATATTCGACGACAATGAGGACAAGGTTACCTAGAGTTCTACAGGACCAGGTCTGACTTTGATCCTGATGAAGACATACTCCCTGAGTACTCAGAAGGGTATAGATGGTTCTCAACAATGGAAGTGCACAGTTTCTTGCTTTCAGCGCATTTAAGAATATCCTAACCCCTAGTTGCAATTGGAAGGATGTCCTTCAACTAGCTTATGACCCTGTAAGGTCGAGAAGAACAAGGAGTATATTCTTCAAGTTCCAGCCAATTCCAAGCGAGCATTGAACTTCGTCAAGCCTCGGACTTCTGTCCACTTTGATAGGCATTACGCACGGGCTTTCATCTGCCATCGACTTGTTTCTCTTTTCAATTGTCAACAGACGCGATCTGACATCTGTCAACTCACATCAATCTGCAAATATCTGGCAGAAATTACTATTCTCATTTGCGCAAAAGTCCTGTTAGACAGGTCCATATTAAGCATCCTGTGCATGTAGAACTAAGTTGACTGAACAGAAACTTGGAACAGTAGCAGGTATAGTTCACGTACCTCCTCAACATTACGAACTCGAGGGGACTTGTAGAAGTGTGATCTGTTCACTGTGAAGTGGCCTATGTGAAGATTAGCTTCAACAATTTTGGACTGTCATGTAGACTTAGAGGTACGTGTATTGCGGAGACCTATTTAGTCTCAACAGAGAGCATACCAGGTAAACGTTCGATTCACGACGAAACTGCAACACTGCCGGCACCTATCATCCAGAATTATGCTGTCCTGATATCCAGATGTGTGCTTGTTGCGAAAGAAATATCGACGAAGAGGTTCTCACAAGAATATTTTAGACTGTCACACACTATGATTTCACATCACACGGCTGGACTGCCCACTTGGACCTCAAGTCTGATACGAGTAAATATTAAGATACAGAAAAATGCTGAAGAGGTCAGGCAATTGCAGGACCTCTTCGCACATTGAATGGAATGTAGGAGCTGTTACATCCCCAAAAGACGGGGAGCTGTGGAAAACAGACGAGCAAGAGAACATCTCTGTCTGTCTACTGCTGCCGATGGGTGTGGGTGTATGGCCCGCCTCAGGTACAGGAAAAGACAAGTCAACGTGATTCCACGCAGCAGTGCGCCGGTGTATGTGATAATTCACGTGGCAATCTATTATGGTCTACCGTTTGAGGCTCTCCTGCATCTTTGGGACGTCAACTCTATGGTCAAGAGACTCAGTGGCTATATATCTTGTTCATTTCGAGTCTAATTTCAGATGTAAACGCTTCGTCTTCTGCAGACTTAGAACTTGGCCTTGAGCTCTAGGTCTGCATCCACGTTTCCGTCTTCGAAATCTGCTTTGACAAAAAAGGTAGGAAAGCTAATGATCCAATGCCGTTCCATACATTCGAAACAGGTGACATGAGTACTGATGGTATTCTGATCAAGGTAGCAGCCCATCAGGTTGCCAGTTTTAGGTAGAATCGTCAAGAATCAGATAGTTGTTCGAGTGTTCTAGCCTGTAACTCACCAGCTTTTGAAGGCAAATCTATGTACTCGAACGAGCTGATCCTTTGCTATCGGCTGAAGTGATGGAGACAGACAGAAGCTAAAGTCAGTCGACAAAGATTAAAGAGTACGCGTTTTATAAGTTAGTGGTGGATTCTTCTGTTTAGCACTCAGAATGCAGTGAAGAGTAACACTTTCTCATTTGATTCTGCAGGCAGATGACTATGTCACCTAAAATGGCTCTGTTGAGCGTTCTGGTGACCACACTGATGCTTATGTGCATCCAGCCGAGTCGTGTGAATGCACAAGGTGCACTTTACAACGCGACTACTTGGACCAATGCGACTGCCACGTTCTATGGTGGAGACGATGGAGCTGGGACAATGGGTGCGTTAGCTGCCACTTGGGATGGCCCAATGCCAAGTTCACTGAGTGTCAAAAGACTAGGCGTAATAATTTGCATGTCGCATACCATATATCCAATAGGAGAACTGCAAATAAGATTCAGTGTGTGCAACATGCGTGTCGAGCAAATGCTGATGCTTTCTCGGTATCCTTGCAGGAGGAGCTTGTGGTTATGGAAACATGTTCACAAGAGGATACGGACTAGAAACGGCTGCTCTAAGCACAGTTCTATTCAACAATGGGTTAACTTGCGGAGCATGCTTTATGCTGAAGTGCAGGTTGAATGAGTCAAGATGGTGCTACTCCAACGTAAGCTCCATCACAATAAGTGCCACCAATTTTTGTCCTCCCAACCTAAACAGGACAACTGATGGCTGGTGCAATCTGCCAAGATCTCACTTCGACCTGTCCGTCAAAATGTTCACAACACTTGCCCGAGCAGTTGGAGGCATCATCCCAGTTCTGTACAAAAGGTATAGTAGTTCAATTATACGGCTCATCTCTGCTCACTACGAAATTTTCTGGTAGACTTTGGAAGAGATAAAGCGGGAGATTGAGATACTAAGGTCTGACGCTTTATCGGGTCAATCTTCTGATTCAACACCTTCCGAACAAATGCAGGAAGACGTGACTTTGAAAATGATTCCAAATCTGAACCACTTTTGTCGTGCTTTTGCTGCTGCAGAGTGCCATGTGTAAAGACAGGAGGAGTTCGATTCACGCTGAATGGAAACCCATGGTTTAACCTTGTGCTCATTAGCAACGTGGGAGGGCAGGGGAATGTGGTGGCTGCTCAGATGAAAGGCTCTAAAACTGCCTGGTTCAACATGAGGCAGAACTGGGGTCAAAACTGGGAGCTCGGTCAGAAGTTGATCAACCAGACCCTCTCATTCCGACTCACGTTAGGCCTGGGACAAACTTTGACCTTCAACAATCTGACAACGCCCGATTGGAAATTTGGGCAGACGTGGGAAGCAGATACGAATTTCCCCGCCTCCATCAGTAGGTAGAAACCACCGATAAGCTGACGAGTTTGAGTCTTGTGATCCAGTGGGAAAACAAGTCGAATTCACACGTAGCACGGTCACCGGTCACGGTTTCTGGCACCAGTAAACACCAGGAATTTTACTGCAAGACTAGAGTGAACAAGCATTCTTGCATCATCATCGTTCTGAGTCGATTGGAAGGTCATTAGACTACCTAAAGTCAGCAGATGGTGGCAAGTACGCCCATATAGGTAATTCAGCTGGTTTAGATTTGAATTATGCATCTTAGCATGGTGTTATAATCGTGGTAGAAAGGCCAGCAAAAGCCTTCAACCCAATCATTGGGTCCATATACCTGAAACTTCGCTGAAGAAATCATTCTTATGTAGAGTTTAGAGGTACATGCTAGACATCAATTAGTTCGGAACATACCAAGTCACTTCGCAGGACGTACAAAATCATCTAATGATCTGATTTTGAGGCCCATGTCGTCTATGTACACATTCTTAGATGAGAGTACAACTTAAAACTCATTAGCTTGACGCCATGGCTTACGAATCCGGGGTATCAAAGAGCGTCATGCTCCACACGGGTAGAAGTCTTGGGCCAACATTGTAAATTCAAGGTGCTTGAATGCAGCATCAGTTTCCTTGTCTATAGAAGAATTAAACTTGATTCTGAGTTTTTTCCTTCCGAGCAACTAAATTTCAGCTTTCTTTGCATATCATACTCTTTGACATTCAAAAGAGGCTTTCGTGACATCGCACGTATTTGGCATGATATCTTGTTGACAAATTGTTAGTATGCAGAAAAATGTGGATGCACAGCTCATAAAATCTGTGGAATTCTTTAGACTTAAGTTTGCAAATTTCTGATACAAATGACTTATTTTAAGCACAGGTTAGATCTGCAAGTATAGAAAGTATGAAGCTAAAGACAAGCATTTCTTTCCGTGTTTTGTTATTATAGTATTATATGATATCGGGTATCTCACAACAATGCGAAATCGTGCGCAACTAGATAGAATCTACTAGTTAATATAGTTTGAGACAGGAATGATATCTGACATATGATGTTTCCCTTTTTCCAGTCCATGTCGGTGCTCAAGGTGTCGGTCCTCATGTGTTCTTTGATGTCTGAATGGATTATGTTGAGCTTTTCCGTTAGCTCAGAGGCTGCTTTCTGCTTCTATTTTTTACCCAGTATGGTGAGTAGTAGCCTGCCAGATTCCTTGGCATGAAACCGTGCTTAAAGCGAGGACTGCTTCGTGGTCTAGTAGCAACTTGTTGAAGAATCTGATCGTAGATAATGCATATGTAAACTGTTTCATAGGTCGCTTTGTCTTACCATGAATTATTATGGAATATTGACTCAGTTTAGTATTTCCAGTTCTTCTGAAGCGAAAAATTTTCGACGGTTTGTAAGATCTGCATACATGTCAGAACAGCATGATCTCCTCCTTCATTTAATAGGACTTTATAATGCGTTTGATGTAAAATTGTGAGAATAAACAGGCTGGATCACCCTTCAGAAATCTGTTGACACTAAGAACGGATCTACGTTTTCAGTTGCAGCCGAATGAGAGTATGTTTGTGAGTTTTGCTCCCCTCACTACTTTTATGTACATCCTCATATCACATCCTTTTTCTTTCAATTCGTTCCGTGTGTACCTTTTTTCACGTCGTGAAATTCCTAAGCAGAATGTTCCTTTGGGAGCAGGGCTGGAGCAATGGGAAAGCAGGGGAGACTGAGCTAACTTTTGCAAACGGCAAAGCTTCATAACATGAACACACGATGAAGATCGATCGAGCTGTCCTCATAACTGTACTTAAACTCTTCGCATTCTCTGTTCATGCATCAGAGGAGAATGTTGTTGACACGAAAATGTTCTTTTATGACTTACTTCGTTTCTATTTCACGCAACAATGCTTCATGGTCACTCTGTCTTCTGTTCAGTAGCTCCGATAGTGAAGTTCCGGGTCCTTTGGATGTAATCTACAGCTTTCATGTCTGGCCCAGTGACCCAATCACGTCACTCTGAGGTCAACATTGTCGTCCTTCCGGTGGGTCAGCGCTGAACTGTTGCTCATGAGCACATTCCGTAGCGTGCTGCATTGTGCCTCAACAGAACGAATCGTTAAGGAACAGAGCAGGAAGCCTTGAAATGTGGTCTGAAGTCTACCTGATCAAGTACGTATTCTGAACTTCAATCCCTAGTCCCAATGCAAAGGTCGCTCCCTTCCTGAACGTGTATAGGTCATAGAAAGTGCTGTCTTGTCCCTCAATTTTCAAACATACCATTTGGACGCTGCGCAGCAACCGGGACAAAACTTTTTCTCATTGAATGTATTCATTTATTGGCAGGATGTTGACAGAGGAATCCAAGTCTTCGTTGTAATGGACTCTCCTGTTCCCACTTGGCTGCTAGACCATGTAAAATCTTCAAAACTTCAGGGCAAAGAAATATCATCGACAAGTTCAAGAAATCAAGGGAAGGCACATTTCCTGTGAGACATAAGTTGCTGCCTTATATCTTTGGGTCCAGAAAATGCTATCTCACCCTGCCTGAACTGAGCGTCGAGCGACAGATATTCTCATCTAAATTGCTGGCATGATTCAAGTTGATATTATGAATTACACTCAATTTTGAAAATCTCGGCGACAGGAAGGTAAATCAAAAGTGCTAGATGGTGAAAGAGGTAGAGTAGATTGCTACGATCAGATCGTCACTTTCAGTTTGAGTCAAATAAAGTTCCCCACGATTTGCTACTTCGGAATTACGCCTCACTTCGTAGAGCAAGATATTGTCTTCAATACAGGCGGCACACGAATCGTACACTCTTGCACTGTAACGCTCTTGTATCACGATACCTTGGCTTTTATTGTTGATAATAGGAGGGAAGTGGGGGTCAACCTGGGCTACTCACTGGACCGCAAGAATGCTGATCGGAACGTAGTCTGGACGGGATTGAAAATTGAGATCTAAAGAGGCAAATTTGCTGTACAGGAGCGGATTCCGCTTTGGAGTTTCCGGAACTATGGACGGGGACTTCGATAATTCTGTGAGAGTGACTGAAATATAGGGTTCGAACTCGAGGAACTTTGTACCTCGTGATGGCTCATAAAGAAAAAGCTAATGTGAGCAGCAGATTTTATAGGAAGCGCCTTGAATCGTCTACGTTCCCCTTTCAAAAGCCTTGCTTGTATTCAGCTTTCAACTTGGTAACTTCCTGAATCTGAAACTACTTTCAGTGCTGAAGATTGCAACCAATGGACATACCTACACGTACTGAGTTGCATATGCAATGTCTGGGTGAACCATTTAGTGAGTACTTTTGTCAGACCTCACAAGGGAAGGCACATTTCCTGTGAGACATAAGTTGCTGTCCTGTGAACAGTGTGAGAGCAGGTATGCTAGATCTGACTCAAGACATTAAGAAAAGACCCGACACTCTCGAAAGAACAGGGACCATTCCTGACCTGCTCTTACCCATTGACCTTCACGTCGGTTTAATATATGCACGATGACAGCATTGGCCTCATACGTGGTATCAGAACCCGAGGCGTTTCAAATATTTGATCTTTGTAGAACGATATCGCCTCTGAAGTTAAAAATTATAAAGTCTTCATTGTACATCTTGCGCTGTCACCAAAGCAGCATCTGTCACACTGGATCGACTTCCTGAGTACAAAAATCGTGCACAGGCGTAGAATTCTGAAAAGAGTGCATGTCACCGACCAGGCTGCGTGTCCTCCAGTCAACCATCATCTCTTTCATGCTCTGTATACACCTCCTCATGAGATCACGTCCTCTGTTGAGGTCGTTTTGATAAAGTGACTTTCACGGCTTATTGTACTAGCTATTAAATAAATCTGCCATAAATTTGCTTCAAGGTTCTCAGAAGTGAATGTACTTAGCTCTGAGTCTGAGATGGTAACATTCACTCTTTGTCTCCCCTCCGAAGAAGCACAGTGGCCAACTTGCCGCAAGACCATCTTCCCAAAATTAGATGCGAGCCAATAATACAACTCAGTATTGTTTCACAATGCAAGTACTGAAGACCGTGATTTACATCACATGGTAATTTAAAGCTATAATTCAGAAATGTAAGTCCAATGAAGCTATGTTACTTTTACCTCATTATGCAAGCTTTCAGATGTATTCTGATAGCTTGCAGCTCTGTTTAAGCTTTGATGTGAATAAACCGCAGCGATCTCTGCATTATACTGAAATGAAATCCGTAGGGTATTTCTACTTCGGATGTAACTGATATCACAGAACTTCGGACCTAGGTTACAACCCCGGCCATTTGACGTCGATAGGATTGTTTCTGTGGCCAACTTCACATTGTGCTCAGTCATTTAGTTGGTCATCTAAAACTTCTTTCAAATTAGCCTCTAAAGCCTCATACTGACTGTGCTTTCACAGCTGCTGCATATTTACGGGCACAAGTGCATGAAAGCATCTAAGTGTCCTGATTTCAACATCCGATTCAGGAATTTCAAGCAACGAGAAAAGAAACCGTGTAAGTTTATGCAGGTACCGGCAGCAATCTCGTGTGCAGATTAGATCTAGTACCCGACGACATGCTCATCATGTTGACAGGTACTAGAAACTGTTTTCTTATGTGAAAGAGGGACTTTGTTTCCAATGCTGATCGGGAAGTGCATTTCTTTATGAGCTTGTGCAAAGGCAAGTGACTCAAAATACACAGCTCTATAGCTCTATATTTAGCTTTATCTCCTAAAAACAGTCTATAACATATTTTATTAGAAGTCTTCGGACTCTAGTTGAGAGTATTTAGAATGCACTTGAGAGAATTTGGTCTTAAATCCTCGGCCAGAAATCCTTGACTGCGCACAAAGTCAATGATGATTCGATCATCTAAGACATTTGATTGAGTATCAAGTAGCTCGTATTTCGGAAAAGGATAAAAGAATTTTACATCTATATGTAATGTGGACTAAGTATATCATTTTCAATTTCAAATTTTGATGTTTTTTGAGAAGTATACTCGCACATTTTTTCCATAGAAATAATGGTATAGTATGAAAGATGGAGTCCTGTTGAATTTCTACAAATTAAAAAAAAATTCCCTTAAATTGAATTTTAAAGGGTCTAGATCATAGACATGTAGATTTTCTTACATATAATTTAACAAAAATAATACTAACCAAAGCAAGTTGTCAACGTCTTGAAGCTGTTGCTATTGTTATCAGTATCCTAAATAATAAGGGAGCTACTTGTATGAAGAATAAAACCTCTAAAAATTGAGCTATAATGATAACTCTGATGTTAGTAAATAATGTTATTTTGAATCTTGCCTATCGATAAACTCACAAAGATATAAGGTTAATTTGGGATAAAAACCCAGATTTGTATTGTTTATTGGTTAGCTTTGAAAACTCAAGTCTTGCAAGATTACAATATAATTGAATTTTTCATATTGATTTTCATGGATAAAGTCGAAATGTTTTCAAAGATATCCATAGCAAAAACCTGTGCTTGAAACTTCTTGAATATCATTATGGTAAATATCTTTCTATGCTTCAGAACATAGACGATGCATACCCAGTTTTAAGATATGTTTCAAGTTGAAGCTTTTTTCGTGAAGTGATGATTGTATTAAGAATTCTTTTCATGAAAGTCAAATCCAAGAAATCAACGCGGAGGAATTTTTAAGTCAGAAAAACACTGTTGATGAATCATTTCTCTGAAGGTAAAAAAATAAAAAATAAAATTAGTATGTGAACTAATGAAACAATCATTTATCAAGCAGATATTTTTCTCATCATAAAGAATATTCATACTCAGCTGTGCAATGAATCATCATCAAAGACGAAAACGTAGAGATCTGCTAATTGATTTGAAGGCCAAAAAGCTGTCGAATGTAAAGGGAAATTTACAACCGATACTCCTTATCACGAAACTACAGCCGTAGTTGCAGTTGTATGGTGCGTATCATTCATCTATCGGTGGAAGGAGAACTGTTGGGATAGCAGCGTGGATACCATATGAAATTGAAGGATCGAATTTTGACTCTGTCAGAATCTCTGTTCGCCATGTGGAGAGAGTTGTAAAAACACTTCCTGTGAATCTGAATCTGGAATCTATGTAGGAAGGAAGCTTCAGGAGTCCATCAGTCAGAACACATAATCCCGTGTAAGAGTTGCCTTCTTCTGGCAGACACTAACATTTCCTGCAGCTGAACATTTACAGAGGTTCTAAACCTGTGACTGGTTCCATACAACGATGCACAGCATTCTTGAGATTTCTCGGCTCCCGTAGACGACATTGTGATGAGGTGACATGTTCACTTGCTACTCTCATCACAACTCAACGCCAGCCGAAATAGTTGAAAGTTGTCAGAAATTTCTTCTCCCCGGCAAGTCGAATTTACACAAGCCCTTCCACTCTGTCCAAGAAAACCCCCACAGTATTGTGATCAATTTCTCTACGCATCAATTGCAGCCCCGTTCTTTCACCAGCAAGAAGACATTCAACTATTTTGCAGGGACGAAGATCTAATCAACCGCCTTTTCAGAGTTCAGGGACACGAATGTAGACTTTCCTGCGTCTGTCCTTGCTGCGGACGGTTGCAAATTGAAGAGTCCAGTCTGTGACCACAGAACTTGTCTAAAGAGCAAGAGAACACAATAAATCAACGAGGAAAAACGCATACTTCGATCCATGTCGGAGTCTGCGTACTTTTTTCTCTTGTACAGATGATTAAGAACTTGAGACTCGTACCGCAAGTTTGGCAGAGAATGATGTAGCTTGTGGTCCAGCACAGTGGAATGAAGCAGAACCTAAAGGTGGTGCGCACCTTGAGTTCACTTGCAGATCCACCGCAATTGGCACACAGGATTTTAGCTGGTGTGGAGTCCCTCACCATCCGCTTCCTGTCCCATGGCATCCAGAAGCAGAAAACCATTGTGCTGGCGTCGAATGGCGTTTCCAACAAGGCGCTCGTTCAAGCAAGAGGTCACCGCGATATTTCACATGTCAGCAATCAGCCTGGTACTGAACAACGGAGCCCAGAACTCCTTGAGAGAAAGCATCCTACTGAATGCATTCGGAAGGATTTCAGTGTTTAGCCTGTAGAAGCTAGGCGGGTCGATATCCACATCGATATCTACATCCGTATATTTCCTTGCTGCTGCTGCAGCTGCTGCATGCAACTTTGACGAACCGTGGAAGTTCCTCACCCTCATCAATGGCTTTGCCCATGTGTCAGCTCAATGGTGTTCAGTTTCCTGGTGAAAGTCAGTGTGACTGACTTCCAGCACATGTCGTAGGCAAACCTTTCCGAGACCAGCATTGCATAAGACTTTGACATCGTCTGCTAGCAGGCGAATTTCAGGAGAAGGGAGCTTTTTCCTGTCTATATACACCGCTATGGCTGCAGAGAAGAAGAAGTGCTTGGATTCGTTGAGAGCCGAGCGTTTACTATCCTACTCATCGATTCCAGGTTCTTGAGGATGTGACAGAATCTCAAGGAGACCTGAATTTTTACGAGCTCCTCGTGGTCCCGAGTTGTATCCCCGAGAAGACTGGCACACACCCCTAACTTCGCCATTTTCGGATTGGGTACGAACAAAGGCTACAGGGTACTTTCGATTCTATAATGCTTCAGACTGCTCTGCGAAAGTGAAGATTCAGGTAATGCAATCTGTATGGTGTCTCCCGCACGTTTGCGTGCTCACGTGAAACGTGTAAACGCTGCCATAAGCATGTTGCATACTCTGGGCCCGACAAGCACTCGAGGTCTCCTCTTTCTCTGTTTTCCACCAGTAATCTTCTCTTGGGGTGGAATTTCTTTCCGGCGACTCGTGAAGATTCAAGCAATGGCACACGCTGTGTGGCTCGTTTTGCAGCTCTGATTCACCGACATTTTCAGAGCTCAATAAAATATTCTTCTCCAGTCTTCCTTCCGGCGTATATTGGCAGGCTCCATGCCATCGTGGCAGGAGAGTCCGAAGTCGCTTTGCTTCCCCGTGGTGCAATCTACGATGGCCACATTGTCAATCGGCTTCGATTGGAGAAGCCCCCACAAGAGGATTCTTCAATCGCACACACGTCCAAAAAACTCCTATTTGTGGAACTGTATACAGATTCGGCATTCATCTGCTCAGCCCAGGTCTGTATGGGCCCACCTTTCCACCCAGGAGACGCCAAAAAGAACTACACTAAAGTAATGGTTCTCCAAGACTTCCTGTCGATTCACAATGCTCGGTAGGGAAGCCTGGCATGGAATCGAAGGTGGGCAATGGCCAGCTGTGATCGACGTTTGCTGTCCACCTCGAGTGTGTTTCAGTGACTGAGATGTGTGCTCGGAATGTGTGAACCGTCTCAATCGTAGAGAAATAGCAAAGCAACAACAATACTCAGTGCTCGTTCACATGAGGGCTTGACAGTCAGCACTGTGCACACGAAACGAAACATGTCATTTAGATTTTGTGGAGACCCCTTCTTGAAGTTCACTGTTTCGAAGTTCAGATGTGACAGGAATCGACAATTCCCGCAACTTGCTCCAAAATGTGTAAGTGATTGTCCAGATCAGTACTGTACATGAGTTCAGAGTCGTTCTCATTCGTTTTCAGCGGCTATATCTCTTAAGATCAAAACATCGTTTGGGTGCCACTGAATATGCTTGCTTGCCAGGCACTGCGACAGTTCACCTATTCTTACCCTGAAACGTCACAACTTCAACGAAATTGTACAGATTTCAATCTACCTCCACCACTCGACAGACCTTTTGGTGTTACACAAGTGAATACAAGAGAGACGCTTTGAATTTTAGTATCAAAATGACATGAGAAGACATTTTGTTTATTGTTTATTGACATTCATGCGCTGCGCACGAGTGAAAAGTCTTCTATGTCCGAGCCAAGTTATTCAATCGGCACGGTGAAGAAAAAATCATCTTCAGTAAAATCTGTTTCTGTAAGAGCATCATGCTTCTATTAAACAGTACTCTTCCTAGTAAGCTTCAATTTTGCTAGGCTCCTTCGCATAACTCATACCTTCATATGATTCTCTGCATCCAGGGCCATTTCTGACCTGCGTAAGGCCCGCCCCACATCGCTTGAACCAGTCTCTGCTCGAACAGGAAGCCATGCTACCCCTGGTATGTACACTAACAGAGCTGAGTGGTCCCTAATCTAGTCGATTAAGTGAAATTTGTGCCCATGAGAAAACCTAGGGTCTGTACTGGCACGTAAGCGTGTCGAAGTAAGTATCAGCTGATGTCATTTAGGCCCGATCTAGATGAACGACTGTCTTCCGAATGTGGGAGACGGTGATCTGAGATACTGCAAATATTCTTCCTCTGCTATACTCGTCGATTGCCAGTCATTTCTTAACCAAATATGCCAAATACTACAGCGTCCAGCACATAGGAGCTCTCACGAATCCGCATCCCGTGAGCTTAGTGGTGTAAACTTTGAGTCAGTCACTCCACTCTACAAGAATAATCAGGAAAAAAAGAACGACTTCAACTGAGAACTGAAATCAAAAGATGAAAGCTCTGGCACTTTCCAGGAGACGCTTACCTCGCAGAACATTGGCCCAAACAGACATAGCAACTCAGAAAAAATCGATGGTGGATTTAGCTGCAGTCAGTGCATTGTCACTCGTAGGGAGAGATACAAGATCAAAATCATGAACCAACAGAGACTAATACGATCATAGGTAACAGAATACCGCCAGGCATCCTCCTCTTTACACTACAGCCCACCATTTTGAGGCTGGAGTAAGAGATGCTGATGAACTCAAGCTTTCCGAACAGGAAAGCGCAAAAATCTTGATAGGAGCTGGAAGAGGAAAGACTAGATCAAAGAAAGTTTCTAAATGATTCAGTCGCTCTCGGAATCGTTAGGAAGCGCACCACAGTTTTTACAGAGAATTTCGTGGTGGGTTTTCCACCAGAGCGGAATGAAACATAGCATTGCTGTGTTTTTCACCTTCACATCTGACACAGGTCCACCGCAGATTCCACACACTCCCTTCGCAGGTGTCGTGCTCTTGATTCTGCGCTTCTGTTTACAAAAATTACTCCTCATCCTCCTCCCAGTCATTGTGAATTCCACGACCTCGCAACTTTACTTGCCACAGCTGATTTCGAACACAGCTCCTGGATTCTACCACCGACCAGCTTGGCATACCTTCGCAGAAATCCGAAGCTAACTCTGTAGAAGAAGAATCTCCCCCGACCAACCGCACACTGCTAAAATCATAAATGAAAAACTTTGTCAACAACTCAACGTTGCACCTGCTGCTACTACAACCTAACACCGAAGTCCACCGAACTCTCGACCTACACCGAAAATGTGCAATCTAGTCAACACACACACACCAGCAGGTCTTTAAATCCAGGTTCACACGTTAAGATACGGAACAGGTCGTCGAAAGGCCGAAAGTGGCAGATTCTAATCCCGAATAATTTGCTCATTCTGCATGGGCCTACCAAAACCTCGCAGGAAATCTTGCAGCCAAATTTCACTAGAGGACGGGCGAATTCAACGCAATGTACTCGGTGGCAGACGATGAAATATATCCACGTGTCTTCATAACCTTGTGCCAGCTAGGATAGCCAAGACCGATTTTACTACACGTGTCAATGGCCTTCTCGCACCGTGAGCATTCAATGAGTTCCACCTACACAAATCCTTATCTGCAGTGCTGCTATCCTGAGCTGTCCCTTCCAGGAAATGTTCCTACTGGTAAGTTGCTGCCACTTCCCCGAATGAACAACTGGAATAAGCGCACACAAGGGCTCCAATGTGAATGGCATTTCGTATTTGCATCTCGTTTAAGCTATATTATTGTCTTTTCGACCTTATCTCACCCTTTTCTGGTCGGGTCAATCCGTCGGCCATTGCTGTTGGTCCGGGAAGCGTACTGCTATCATGAAGAGGATTCTCATCGTGCCAGGAAGAGTTTCTAAATTTACGGTTTGCTCAAGTATGTGTCCTGATTCACAAAGTTGATTGCATCGTTTGGGTTATCTTTTGGATCTGTCTTGGAACATATGTCAAGCTCACTGAAGTATTATTCTCAGAGCAGAAAATGCACACCCAGTGAGCCTTCTTGAGTGATTTCACTGGGAATTACACTATATGTGCGACCATTATTTTGTTTGAACAAACGTGCTGACTGAAAGCCAAAAGCCGTGATATGGTTTGTGGCTGCTTTTGTCGTGTAGCAGGCCTGCTTGTGTTGGTGGAGTTCACATATGTTGACGTTCTGCAATGGTACGGATAAAGGGACAAGATTGTGATTGTACTCCAATATTGCAAAGTTGAACGAACAGTTGTTGGTATTGAGCACCTCATCTACCATGAGTACAAACTTATCCTTATAGGGTAAAATTTTCCAACTAAATCAACATTGGTTTAATCATCAAATAGTAGAACTCACTCTAATTGACGTGACTATTATTGTTATTGCCTTGTTGGCTCCTCTATGAATACCAAAAAAATTTCATTCTCACCCAAATCACATCAGTTTCTGTAGGAAATACTTGTGAGGAATTGCGGAACACTGTAATTAAAGAGCACACAATAGTGAAATTGTCCACTTTGGTATTTCATAACTAAAGTCTAAAACATCGAATTTAGAGTTATCTGACGGTACCATCATATGAAACCTCTAGTGACGTTCGGTACACTTTGATCACGATGCAAAAATCTCTGCCTTAAAGTAACAGTAGAAAATGCTAGAGTGCATCACAACAAAGATCTGAATAGATGAAAGATTACGATTAGCTCTTTCATTTGACTTTTTTGATATTAAATTTATTAAAGTAAGAGAAGTATATATATGCCCATACCTTGGATTGGTCAAACCAAACATTTTGACAGCTCAAGCTCCACCACATACCTTCGACATTTTCAAGTTTTACTCTGGTTGCTAGGCGGTTACAAAGGCAATCATCGATGTGATTTATTTTTATTTTTTTATACATATATATATATATATGAAGTGCATTGTTTCCACTAGGATTTATATAAATACCCATTGTGTCTCTGCCCGCGCACAGTACTTGTTCATGAGTCATGACTCATGAGTTTTTAGTCATGAATCATGACTAAAAAACCAATGCATGTAAATTATTTTGAGTCGCGTATCCATAAATGCAAAGCCCAGCAAAGAAAATTTTTGTACAGCAGCTTGTTTATATATATATATATATAATTGTCGCTGTTGTGTAGCCTCAACAAGCTTCTAAAGCACTGTATAAGGATGTACGCTGATAAGTAATGCTCCTTATCAATATGTAAAATAGAGGTGCATCGTAGACATGCCGCGGAGAACACCTCGGTAGCATTGGCACTAACTGAATGCTATGCAGGACGACCGAATCTCAAACGAATCAGTTTGTGGATGGACGATTCTGAAACTTTCCAGATATCCGAAGTTAATGCAATGTGCAGAACGTAGAGCGTATAGATTATGCTAGATACTAGAATTGGTTGCCCTCAAAGGTCTGGCCATACTGCCAGTCAGAGTCAGCTACACCATTACTTGCCACAGTTCTGCCATCGCTTGTTGTCACCGAGAAAGAGAGAGCTTGCCCATCAAGCACGGTTCCTGTAGTCCAGAGCTGACCCCAGTTTCGATCCATTTGTATCCAATCGGAGCTGGAACCCTTCACAGATACTGCTGTCACATCACCCATCCCACCCACATTGTAAACGAGGACCTGCATAAAATACGGATGGCCCTGAATGAGGAAACGGATACCGCCACTTCTCAGACAGCTTACCCTCTCGTATTCTACGTTCACCACTCCTGCTACAGGCGGAGCCAAATGCTGGAAAGCAGGCTCGGCAAGATCGAAGTGACTCCTGGGCTCGTCGCACCAGCCGCCAGTGCTACCTTGCGGGCACAAGTTGGTGGCTGTGACCACTATGCTCCCTGGCAGGCATTGAAGATTTCCAAACGGAATGGAGATGCATTGTATCTTGAAGCAAGCTCCACAGGCTTCTCCACCATTGTATAATGCACCACTCAACGCAGTGTTCATCGGTCCGTCGATTGTTAGCACATTTGGGTACCCACACGATCCAGCTGCCAGGTACAATGCATCCCACTTGTTCCATTATTTTCGAATTTCCAAGTGAAATATTGATCTTACAAATTTATTACAGACCAACGCACAAATTTCTAACTGTCAAAACTAATCATAGCAGCATGTGAAAGAGACATACTGTTTGTGCCAGACGCATCGTTTCCACCATAAAACGTGGCTGTTGCTGGTATTGCGTTGGCCTCTGATATCAACATATGCATCAACAGCAACATGATCCAGAGGTAGGTCGTGCAAGTGGTCATGGTTAACCAACCTCAAAATAGAAACAGAAACTTCTGAAAAAGAAGAATCTCGAGACGTTATGCAAAAGAATGTGAGAAAACTATGATGGGCTGACAAAAGATGGACTTGTGCGAATTTGAGTCTACTCGAGGAGAACCGACGGTAGCAGGTACGTTATGATTGTGATTAATCTTCACTTTTGTCACTCTATACTTCAGAACGTGTTTTAAATTTAAAAACGACAGTATACATGCAGAACCTCTCGATCTATCGACATGAACACGAAATCTCTAGTACCAAATACAGTCAATGCTTATTAAAACAATAAAGAATGGGTAAGGAGTGCATATGAATGGTCACAGGGCCACGTCAGGAATGTCTGTAGCTCTCAAACTGAAGAAGGAAATGAATTTTGATGCTGGCAGCTCTTACAGTAGCTGCCAGAATGCTTGCTCAAGTAATTGTACTCACGTTATCTATGCTGATGGCAAGATCGTCGTAGGGAGTGGGTTTTATAGCGACTGTCAACGCCAACATGAAGTCGGATCGTCATCTAGAAATGATATGATGGATTCCATCAATCTACTTGCTTTTCGTATGACCATCATCATTTATCTTTCTTCCGGAAATTCTTATGGTCGAATTACGAGGCCACCACGAAATGTAGTCAAGTAAGCGAACCTGAATATACTCTTCACGTCACTCTGGTGCACGTGTAAATTCAGTTTGGAATCCTCAAATGATTCTTTTATCTGTGCCTACAGATTGGGTTAACTTCCAAAAAAACTCCGACTAGAGGTGTCTCAACTGCAAGCATATGTCTTCATCCTGTATAGCTGGGGTGTGGATGTCAGGATCATTTACTTTCAAAGTGGGAACTCAGAACTTCAGTCTTTCTATGGAAGCTAGTTTCCTTCAGTGAATATATTGCAGTAGTGACTTGCCATAAGGATTCAGACCAGTGAAAAGTCCAACTGCTGCCCATGTAAATATGCTCATGAACTTTGCAGTGGGTTTCATATGTTCATAAGGAGCACCAAAGGTCATCACCAGCTGTTACTCACGGTATTGCAACAATATACAAAATGCCTTCACTCTGAAGATGAAATCCAGACCGCAAGACTGTACTGCCCACAAGTCATACTTAACAATAGACGGTGACAAAAAAGGGTACTGACCGAGATGTAAAATTAAACACTCGTGTGCAGTACTGTCGTCACTGAATCGTCAATAGTTCGTACCCTTCGAGAGATGCATGCACTTCGTTGACCTCCGGTGATTGGAGTGATGGTGCTCTCTCACGTACATGGCATACAGAGAGTCTACACTTATGCTAGGCTGCACAAAGTTTTCAGTGTTTCCACATCGTACTAACTGTCGAATCTGAATTCCAGACCCTCAGTTCGATGCAATCATTGACAAATTACTTGCAGCTTGCCTAGATTTCTTCACAAGCTGTAAAGGCCATGATTTCAGCCAGCACATAGCTTGATATTTGACTAAAAGGAGAAGGCAAATTCATCAAGTAATACTCCATGAAGTCATACACGGAAGACGAACCCAGAGGGTAATATGTTAAAAACTCTTAGGTGCTATTGCTTCAAAGACTTTAATGCTCTCTACAATATGTAGACATTTTGTTTAATATGTTATGTTGAACACAATGTTATCTATCTACTTTAACGCAATAAGTTCTCATGCATAGCGAGCCTAATGAATATATATGGGGCAAGATCCATTAGTTTCACATAGGTAATTATGTTAAAAATTCTTAGGTGCTATTGTACCAAAGATTTTAGTGCTTAGGGTTAATGCACCCTTTTCGTGCCCTAATGAATCCAACCGATCGCAGCTTCTCTCTAATTTTTTAATAAGGCATCTCCAGATCTACAATATGTAGACATTGGGTTTAATATGTTATGTTAAACACAATGTTATCTATCTAGTTTAATTTAAAAAGCTCTCATGCATAGCGAGCATAATGAAGGTACTCATTCTATATAAACTTCTATTTTAACTTTCTTGTGTGAATGTAATTCATTTGACAAGTCGAAGTTTTCAAAAAACATGTGACCAAGCTCTTTGTATTTTATGATTTAATGCGCACCCCAATATACCCCAGGCCCTCGGATTTACGACAGCTCTAGTGCAAACAGGGGTAGCATGAGGAACAAAGTATATATGCTATACAAGATAGCAAGTACGGGTTACAGGTAGATGACAAGTCGAAACGTGCTCCATGACGGTGAAAGTGCTAAAACCCGATGACCGCGGAGTTGACCTGGATAAAGGTGGCCGCAGGGTAGACCTTCAGAGCCCTAGTTCGAGAAGTAAACGCGTCAAAGCTCGGAAATCTCGGTGTGGCATGAAGTGATCATCTCTCAATCATTCAGTACGTCGGCATGCACGTACCCACAAGCGAGCAAACGATCGATTCGGATGCTGAGCGATCCAGAAAGTGACCCTTAAAGGCAGGAGGCAGAATTTCGTAGAACGGTTGTGAGTTCCACGGAGCAATTCAAGCTCGAGAAAGAGATGGAAGTAGGAGACGGCTTTCGCCAGGAAGAGGAAAAGTATGCTGACGGTAGAAAGATGACCTCAACATCTGACTGTCTGTCTCTGCGTCGATGGTCGATGGTCCCCTTTACACGATACTCGTATGTATTTTGTTTGTACATCGAGGTAAAACAAGCGCACTCCATCTCTCCGTTTTCTTCGGCGGTCCAGCTAATCCGCCGACGGATCATAAACACTGGTGGATGCTTCTGTCTCACCTCGGAAACGGACCAATTCCGTGGCATAGATGTTTGCTACGGAACTATCATCCTCAGAAGCTCTGCAGATAAGACCTGCATCGATACATTATGGAGTTACGACTTTCAGGCTTGAAGTGTATACACTACCCTTGCGTAAGAACTCGTCTCATCCACTGTATGCTACGTTTGTCGACTGAGTTCTCAATTTGACTGCGTTCGGCAACGACGACGTATATTCAGATGCACTGCGACTGCTGTTTTGTGTACTGTCAGTTGATCGTGGTTCAGAGCTGGAACAAACTCCGTTGAATCTCGGAATACGCAAAACGAAACTTACCGCAGTTAGTTATTCAGGTTGAGTTCGTGTTTCACATATTTGATTGTACATATGATTCCGGCATGTAGAATCTACCACCGCAGATATTTACATTCAATTCGGGGTGTACCGCACTGTAAACGATAAAAGAGGAGAAATATGGGAAAAGGAGAAAATGAGTAAACTATACTGCACTCTTTGCAAGTGGAGTTTTTGTACCTTTATTTCCCATTAGGTGATTATTGTATATTGCTATTAATTATTGAAACATGCACCATTGCACCTTTTCAGTGTAAATAAAAAATACCGTGAATTTGTATTTTTTTAACATATATTAGTGTGTAATATAATTTTCCTATTATATATGATTTAAAATACATAAAATTTGATAGTTTTTGCAATATTCAATCAAAATTGAAAACTTATTTTTTGGAAAATTAAAATTTTCCTAGAAAGATTTGCTGATTATAATAAAGAATCTTGATCTTTGTAATGAATCTTTGCACAAATTTATGCTAAAAATCTGAGATAAATGGTTTGAATAATTACTTCTTATCGTTGTTATAACTTAAAAATATTGTGACAAGAAACACGAAATTACATAAACATTAGAATAAGAGAAGTTAAAAAATAACTCATACTTCGCAACTCTTGGGCTACGTTAGAGTGATTACAAGGTCTTCATTTATCAATCTACAAATTGTCAATTGCAAGTTGTCTCTCACACCTTTCTATACAGATAAATAATAATCATAGATCTAATTAGAATTTGAATAAGATTAACTAGAATTGAATCCAAAAATTCAATTAACACTGAAAATCTTCCACTTAATTCATGTTATGGCAAAAGTAATATCTCTAATAAGCTACTCTTTATATTGAAGTTAATTAGAACTAAGTCGTAACGAAGATATGATAGAGTAAAAATATTTGTAGTAACAAAAGTTGCTACTAAACTCTATATCATATTACTCATGCAAACCCTCATAGTAACACAATGTTTACTAAAACTCCTCAAAAAAACTTTTTGTTAGTGCATGTATTAGATTGGGTTCAACATAAAACTAAATTAGTTCAACTTTTTTATCACAATTTTCATTTTTAATAAACTGATACATTATGTCAATGTGTTTCGTTGTGCTATCAATGATTTGGTTTGTGACAAGGTAAAACTTAATGAAAATTTACAACCTCTTATCTATGTTAGGTTCATTTTATCATGGATTTACTTCATTTAGTGATAACTATGGTTAAGGGAGTTAATTGTGATTAATTTAGCTAAGATGTGCATCTTATCTCTTACTTTATAGATAGAGAAGTAACCATTCACTACGTATTGTTTAAAGTTACCCTTTTAGAGTGAGCATGAAAGAGTAGAGTTTGGCTATGGATGTCATGTATACATTTGTGCTTTAGTGAAGTTTACATTGTGGAAGGTGAATCACATAATCTTGGTGTGGTACTGTACTGCGTGCTGATCGATCTTGATTGTTGGATCTTATAATTTAAACTCATCTAAGTGATAAGCATTTTCAACCAAATAACTTCCTTTGTTACTTCTACTTTTGTTACATATGCAGCTTACGTCATGGATTAAACTGCACATTTGTACAAAGTAGAAGTTCAACTAATGCATCCATCATGAAGTGAAAACACATATCCCATTACTAATTGTAGATTTTTTCTTGTCAAGATATTACCCATAGTTAGCAACAATGTATCGTAGCAAGAATTTGGCATTTTTTAATAAATTATCAAGCAATGAATCATAATCGTAAGTTCTTTTGAATTATTTGAGAATCCGTTTTAATGTTAATCCAATGCAACTTTTCTTGATTTGACATGTACTAATTCATTTTGCCTATATCTAGAGCATTATGAGATCTTGTGCATATCATTAGATAGATGAGATTGTTCACAACTTTATCATAGGATGTTGATAACATCTACTCAAATCAATGACACAAATTGGATATTCACTTGCGGAATATTTGAATTATGCTGCCAAAGGAATTCATACACATTTAAAATCTTTCATGTGAAATCTATCAATCACACCTAGAATGTATTTGCATCGGTCTAACCTTATATTTTTCTACTCCATTCATAATATGAAACACCATCAATATTCATCTATAATATTTTCTGAAATTGATCCAAATTCTTCATCTATAATGCAATTTTTTGCTCATTCTTGAATCTGTTGACATTGAATTGATTTTTTTCCACAATGAGCTTGTCATTCACAAAAATTACCAAAATAATGAAATTGAAGATTTCATCATTCATTTTTTTTATGTATACATTTGTATTATATATATTTTGTGAAATTTTTGTGCTTTCATGAACTCATCAAACCTTACATTCTATTGTCTATGAGGTTATTTGAATCTATATAA